AACCCTAACCCTAACCCTAACCCTAACCCTAACCCTAACCCTAACCCTAACCCTAACCCTAACCCTAACCCTAACCCTAACCCTAACCCTAACCCTAACCCCAACCCCTACCCCTAACCCTAACCCCTACCCCTAACCCTAACCCTAACCCCTAACCCCTAACCCTAACTCCCTGCGTCGGGAAGGGGGGATTTTCTGAGACTGCTCCTGCGCCCGGCGCCGCCGCGCAGGCGGCAGGCGGGCATCCCGCCAGTGTGCTTAGCGCAGACGCGGCGTGGAGGCGCGCGGCGCGGGACTCGGGCAAGTGGGCCCTGGCGGCGCGCGCGCGTCTTGGCTGTGCCGCCGCCGGTGTCAAGGCACGCGGCGTGCGTGCCTAGGCGCTGCAAGCAAGCGTTGCGGCGCTGCTGCGTTGCGCGCCTAAAGTACTGCCCATGCCCGCCGCACTAGCATTCCACTGCACACCGAGCGCTTTGCTTTTGAGGGCAAAATCTCTGCCAAAGCGCATTGAAGCAGTTCCCGCAGTCTAAGAGACGATCAGCGTCTTGTCGCTGCACAGGGCTCGCAACGGCGCGCCCAGTACGCAGCCTTGCTTGTGTTCCGGCGCAAATTTGCCACGCAACACGCTACGGCCGCCAAGCGGAGCGAAGGCAGCAGCACCAATGTGGCTGGAGCTCCTGTTCTCGCAAATGTCCAGCGTCATGTAGCTCAGTTGCCCTTGCCGCTGGCGCATGTTTGTGTGCGCAAATGCGCCGGATCACGGATGGCAGCAGCGGTTGGCGCTGGCAACTCAGGCCCGCCGGATGGCCGAGGCTGCGCGCCGGCGGCGCACTCCCCACGGTCGCTGCTGGCGCAGCGCAGCTTCATGAAGCCGGCTCAGGCTCACGCTGGCTGCTAGACCAAGCGATGCGGCGTGCCTTCCCCGCCATCAGATCTTGGAGCTACGCCAGCTTGCGTCGAGAACGCTGCGCGCCAAGTCTGCCGGACATGACATGCGTTCTGCGCCACTGCCTGCGCTGGAGCATGTCTTGCTACGGCACCGTTGCGCTGCCAAGCAGTGCACTGGGCAAGAGAGCGATCGCTTGCCAATAGGCTCTTGCACCGCAGCAGACAGTGCGCCGGCAAGCAGATGCAGCACTCGGTTCGCAAGGCAGCAGAGCTGTTGTACACGCAAGCTAGACACAGCAACATCCCGCTGACGCAGCGGAATCTTGAAGCCTCAGCGGCGGCGGCCACCCTCAGCGCGAGGTTTGGCTCGCGCCAAAGCACAGCCGGTGCCATGATCTCGTAACGCCGGCATCTCACACTGCCGCAACTGCCGTGCACAATCCTGGCTTTGGAAGGCTCTGTGAGCTGTCGCGCCAGCTTGCGTCGACTCTGAAGCAGCAGGTCAGCGTTGCCAAGCAGTGCCGCCAACCTTATTGCTGCGCAGCCGGCGTAGGAGATGCACGCCCGAGAGAGCTCAATGCTGCGTGCTGCCAGTGTACGGATGGCTGGCGACAGCGCACGCAAGCGCTTGTCGCCCGATGAGCAGATGCGCTCCAGCCCTCCTGCTTACAACACTCTACCTCTTGCTTGCCGTGTTGCTCCACCCGCGCACAACGTTGCGCCCGGCAGAGCATCTCCCTGCCCGTTCTTTCCTCTAACCTGCCGCGTTGCTTGCCATGTTGCTCCTGTTTGCGCCTTACCAGAGGCAGGCTGCTCCCACTCTGCATTGCTCCCTCACCCTGCGTTGCGCCTTGTCCGCGCAACTTGACCGCTCCACCACGCTACACCGCTCCTCCGCGTCACGTTGCTTGATTGCATTGCGCCGCTGCTCCACCGCACTCCTTCATGGCGCTTTGCTCCGCATTGGTCTGCTGGCCCCCAACGGTCTGTCACGGCCGCTGCGCCCGTCTTGTTCCTCTGTCAGTCCGGCAAGCGCAAGAGGCACAGCCAAGAGCAAGGCAGCCCTTTGTTGCCTTGCAGCAGTATCTTGACTGCAAGCTGGCCCGCACATGGCCTACCGCCGCTTGAAGCCGCATTGCCTTGGTCGCTGAGCCAGCTCCCCCACGCCTTGCTCACACCCAGCCGTCCGCGCAACGACTCCCACACCACGTGTTGCTCAACTCCTTTGCCGTGCGTCAGCAGCAGCAAGCACAACTCACTCTCTTGCAACGGCATGCCGCGCACTAGGCGTCGCTTCCTGCGCCGTTGTTGGGCTACGTGCCAAGAACTCAGCGGGCTGAGCGTGCCCTGGCGTCACACAGGCTCGGCGCACACCTCTGTCTGCTTGCAAGCTAGCTGACGCTTCTGCTCCTTGCACCCGCAGGCTAGCCGCTTCCCGTTGCGGCTGAATACGACAGCCTGGGCGCCCTGCGCTCAATGCTCACAGCTGACTGGCAACCCATGCTGCAGACTGCACAAGGAGAGCCCCCCGCTCTGGCAGACACGGTGAACCAAGCTCTGTCCCAAACATGCGCAGCGCTGCTCTCCGACTGCATGCCCTGCTGCGACTTAGCAGGCACCAGCTGTGTCCCTTACAAGATGGCGCAGATTAGTGACTCCTGGCTTTGTGCAACGTCGTGAGGCAACGCTCAGTTGCGGCGTCTCTCACAGCGCTGAGAGGCTCGCACCACCACAGCGTCGCAGCATTGCTCACCCGCAGCTTCAAGACTCTCTTGCATCTCCAGCCTCAAGACTCTCCCGCACCCGCAGCCTCAAGACCCCCGCGCGCCCGTACCGTCGGCACCCTCTTGCACTCACGGCGTCAAGGGACTCACACTCACAGCGTCGAGGCCCTCCTGCACTGCATGCCCTCTTGCACTCACGCCACACCCGCTCACACTCACAGTGTGCTCTCTCGCCCCCCAAGCATGCCCTCTTGCCGCATTGAGACCCTGGCGCACGCTCTGCCTCACCTCTGGCGGAAGCCTTCAGCGCTGGGCTGAGCGGTCTGCTCGGCGCGCAGCACGCGCTATGCCGGCCGCCTGGCAGTGCAAAGCTGCCTTCCTGCGCGTACACTGCAGCTGCAGGCGCTCACGCGCACGTTGGCTTCTTTACAAGCTATGAAGAGCTCTAGAGGACGCCAAAGTACCTGGGAGGTTGCGGCGGACTGAAACTGAGAGACAAGCTGCGCAGGATGGTGGTCGTCGGGAGCAGAGGGGCGCGCGCCGCAGTAAGAAGCAAGCATCCGCGGCAACACGACGCGGACAAGCGGCCCGTGCGCGCGGCTGACTTAAGTACGCGGCGCGGCGCGTCTCCTGCATCCCGCGGCTCTGCCTCTCCGCCGCGTGGCTACCACACCGGCCCGCGTGGCTCCTGGCCGCCGCTGCGGCCCCTGCTTGCGCCTAGGACTACGTAGCCGCAGCGCGAACCTCACAGCGCGCCTACAAGAGCACACGAGCACTGCTGAGGGCTGTGGCGCCGCCGCGCATCTTGGCAGCTGGGCTTCCCTAGAGGGGGCTGAGTAAGGCCTGGCATGGCTCGTCAGGCGCAGTCACTCGCGCTGTCCGTCGAGACGTCGAGGGTAGTGGGCGGGGCTCCCGCCTTCAGCGCGCCAAGTAGCTGGTCGTGTTGGACACTCGGACACGTCTGAGCGGGCGCGAGCTCGCCATCACACGCGCTTGGCACCCGATGCGCCGCTTCGACCCCGAGGAGGCCGCGCTCACGCCTCCGCACAGGGGCGCAGCGCTACCCGACCAGCTCGGGCTATGTGTCTCCAAACTGGCACGCGCCGCATCATGTCGCAACACGAAGCGGCCGATGGTGCTGCCAGCAGCACTGGCCAGACCTGCAAGAGCTCGCACGCGGCGGCAGTGCCGGTGTTCCGATGAAAATTGTGCGCGCGGCGCGCCGCATCAATCCAGCGCACACAGACGGACGCGCGCGCTTGCAATTACTGCACGAGAACCGCCTTGCGACTATTGGTGATGCCGCGAGGCGCCTCCGACACACTACAGCGACGCGTACGGCCTCGGTAGACGCGCCAGGCGCAGGCACGGCACGCGGCAGTGCTACCCTGTCCTCGGAGTGGCCCAGGGCACGGACGAGCCACACCACGTCACGCTGCCAGAGCACAGCGCAGCCATAGAACGCACAGCGCAGATGTAGAACGCGCAGCGATTCCTGCAGCATCAACGCATATGCGCCGCATCTGCGTGACCTGACGGCCCGGGACGTCGCCGTGCGAGCGCGCGTAGCTCTCTTGCATGACTGGCCGCTGGGCGCGGCCTCAGCGCAGCGAGCTCGTCGAGCGCGACTTGATCGGCACGCGCAGCGAGAAGAAGAGCTCATGTGCATTCGATTCCGCTCTGTCTGACAGCCCTCCGCCGCTCAGAAGACGGCGATGGCGTTGGGCGGCGAGCCCACGCCGCCGGGCACTGCGCGAGCGACAAGGCTCGAGATGAGCTAGTGCTGCGCAGGTGGTGTGCTGTAGGCACGCACCGTGGAGCGGCGCAGAGGTGAGGAAGAAGGAGTAGCGCTTGTGCTTCTTGCACAGCTCGCTGAGGCCCTCAAGGTTCCATAGCTCGCCTGTGCGGCGTGCGCAGCGCGTCAGCGCGCAGAAGCAGGCGCGAGGAGGAAGGCGCGAGCGGCGCGCGGCGCGCCCAGACGCACCGATGGGCGTGCCCTGGTGCGCGTAGGCGGTCAGCGGTCGTTGCGATGTGCGGTTGGCCAAGGCTAGACGCACCCACAGCGATAGCAGCCACTCGTGAAGCATGACAGACTCTGCGCGAGGTGAGTGAGCCGAGATCTGGGTTGCACGCAGCGCGCGCCGCGACGCACTGCGGGGCGGCCAATTCTCAAACGCGACGGTGTCGCACGCCACGGCGCTGCGGGGAGGCGCGCGGTGCTGAGCTCGGCGGTCGGGGGGTGTGTACTGGCAGCGCACCTGAACTTGTTGACCCAGAGCCAGTCGAGCACCTCCTGGCTCTGCTCGAGGCCGATCGCCTCGCTCGACTTCTGGTGCGCGCGCTTCGCCTCGTCGTCGGCAGCCTCGTGCCACCTCACAAAGCCTGCGCGAGCGGTGTCAGCAGTGCAGCAGTCGACAGCACAGCAACGCACCCGTGCGGATGAGCAGCAGGTCGCCAGGCTGCAGCTCCGTGCCCTGCGCCTCGAGCGTCGCCTTGATCTCGGCGAGCGGCACGTCGGTCGATGCGTTCGGTGCCGGCGCGGCGCCGTCATGGTTTGCCTCCCACCAGCTCAGCCAGTCGACGAGCACGCCGCGGCCGGCAATGCCACCCGCCTGCACCCCTGCAGCGACGAGCTTGCGTCAGCTCATCGGCCTCGACTGCTGTGCCGCGAAGCCTCACACTTGTGGATGCCGTTGCGAAGGGTGCCGCTGTGCAGCTCGTCGTGCTTGAGGCCGTTGTAGTAGTGGCCCGTGCTCTGCGAGGGCAGTCAGACGAGCACGTCCTGCACGCCCGCTTCACTCGCCTGGTGCGCCACGTGTCTGCGACAGCGAGTGTCAGCCTCCGTCATCTTCTGCCGCGCCCACGCAGCGCACCTGAAGCTGTCCCACTGCGAGCCTGCAGCGCAGCGTGAGCAGGACGGAGGCGGAGGCGGCACCTAGGCGTCGCTCACCAGCCTGCGTGTTGAAGCTGACCTCGTCTGCACTCAGTGTCAGCGATTGGAGCAGCGAGCGAAGCCCTGACAGCAGCACTCACCATCGGTCGCGACTGCAGGACAGAAGTGGCCGCAGCAGGCTCAGCGCGGTGTCAGCCTCCGATGCTCGCTACGTCGACCTACCGAAGCCCAGCGGCTTGAGGTCGACCAGCTTGTGCTCGAGGCCCTTGCGCCCAAAGCCAGGAAAGTTCTGGGTGTGCGGCCGTCAGCTATTGTCAGCAGCAGCCGTTGGCTTGCCGCGCACCATGTTGTCGAGCGACCAGTCGAGCTGCGTGCGCTCGCCCGTCTGGCACTCTGCCGCCACGACGCGCCGGCAGTTGTCTGCCGTCAGGTAGTTGAGCGCTGCAGAGGCCGACTGGTCAGCTCGCATGTACGCATTTGGAATGCGACGACCGCTCACTGCCGAGCTCGTCCTTGACGCCGTCCTTGTCGAAGAGACCCCTGAGCGTGCCCGCGTCAGCTGGCGCGGCTGCTGTGCGGCACGCCAGCGGCGCACCAGGCGCAGCCCTGCGGCATGCCCTCGACAGGCGGCAGCTCGGCAAACGTTGCGGGCAGCGCGGCAAAGTTGAAGGGCGCAGACGACATGCTGGGCCAGGGTGGTTGTCGGGAGGCAAGAGGCGCGCCGCACCGGCACCGGGGGCGGCATGTGCGTGCATGCGAGCCGCGTCCCACACGCTACGCCCGAGTGCGGGGCAACAGCAGGCCGCGGACAAGCTGGCGAGGTGAAGCTTGCACAGCGGTACACAATCATCTTGCAGCCGTCTTTTAAGACTGGCGTTGTTCAGCATGAGGAGGTCAAGCGCTGGGGCAGGTGTGCTGCCTTTCTCAGGGCTCTAGGTTGCGAAGACAGGACGCGGGGGCAAGGGTCCGTGCGCAAATCGGGTCGCGAATCGAGATTTCGGCCGCCACACGCCGCCGCCGCGAAGGCGGCACAGCAGACCTTGCTCCTCACCACCACCACCACCTCTCACCTGACGTCGGGACCCGGGCGCCGCACAGCACGGCGCTTCACACACTCTCCGCGGTGCGCATCGCAGTGCCAGCCTGCAACTGCACCACCGGCGGCCCTGCCGTTGCTGCTCGCGCCAGCGAACGCGACCTCGGTCGAGCCCGGCGCCGCGCCAGGGCACTACTCCGCAGACCACACGCGACGGTAATGATACATGGCATTATATCGAGCAGGTGATGATGCAGGGGCCTCGATCTCGACGTCACATGAACGCGCCGGGCCGACCCTCTTCCAGTCGTGGGCTCGTCACCTCGAACGTGACGTCGCGGCGCGGAACTGCACTGCTCGGCTCCGGCTCCGGCCCCAGTGTGCTGCCGCTCGACGGGCGCGGAGAGAAGCGGTGCAGCGCCGGCTCTGGCCTCGACGGCGAGTCGAGCGACACGTCGACCACCTCCTCGACGGACAGCGAGGGGCTGCTCGTGGATGCGTCATGCTTCTCGCTCATCGGCGTGGCGATGTGCGCAAAGGGCGCGGTGCCGACCTTCGTCGCCGCCGAGCTGGTGCGCTGTAGCGGGCTGAGGTAGCTGTTCAGACTCGCCGCCTCCTCAATGACGTGCAGCGAGGTGGCCGGGGCGCGGTGCGCAAAGGCTGCGCTCGCGCGCTTGCTCGGCGCCTCGCCGTGCTCAGTCCTGCTGTCGCCCGCCGATGCCTGCGCGCGCTTGCGGTGGTCGATGCCCATGAGGCGGAGGTTCAGGAAGACGCGCTCGCCACCTACGACGACGGCAAAGGAGGAGAACGGCGTCGCAAACGAGCGGTAGTACGAGAGGCTTGCGGGCGTCAGATTCATGCCGAGCGCGATGATGTTGGCGACGGTGACGAAGAGGAAGTAGAGGATGCCGTCGCGGAAGATGCACGTCATGATGCTCGAGCGGCGTGCCGCCGAGCCGCTGCGGCGGTGTGTGGCAATCGTGCAGATGAGCACGAGCGTGTCAAACGCCGTGGCCGTGCCGTAGCTCAGCGCCGACCAGCTGTATGTCCGCGGGTTGAGGCAGTTGGAGCCGTAGCGCGTCGGCGGGCCCGTGGTAAAGCCGTAGCCGGGCAGCACGGCGATCCAGGCGCCAATGTTGAGGACGTAGAGGAAAATGAGCAGGTTGCAGAGCAGTGTGTTGCTCTGCGAGAAGGGTGAGTACTATGCTCGGACTGCCGCAGTGCACCCCACTCACACTCGGCTTCCTCGTCAGAAGGCGCTCGCCGGGCTTGTGCAGCAGCGCCAGCACGCGCGCCAGGAAGATGCCGCCCGAGGCGACTTGCATCAGCAGCACACCGGTGAAGGAGACGCTCGCCGCCGCCTGGCAGTTGCTGATGTTGAACGAGGCAAAGATGACGCTGCTGATGCTCGCCAGGTACGGCGAGTAGCGCAGCACGACGAAGCTGGCGCGCCGTCAGCACAGCAATGTCGCGATCGGCCTCAGGCTGCTCACCACCAGAACGGAGGCGACCGCAGCGACTTGCGGTCGAGGTGGCGGTACAGGCGGAACTCAGCGCTGTGCGAGGGAAGCGAGGCGTCAGCCGCTTTGCTACCCCAAGCGCACGATGGCGACGCACGGGATCAAGAGGATGTGGTCCCACACGAAGAGCGCAAAGATGACGCCCGCCACGATGCGCAGGTTGGCTGGCGCCGCAAGAGGTCAGCAAGGGCGGTCGGCAGCACTCGTGGCGACGTACTGGCCAGCTCTTGCGCTTCGAGGAAGGAGTCGACCGTGAAGCCTGGCGGCACGGGAATGGAAGCCATTGTGCTGTCAGGCGCGCGGATCCGGTATCACGAGGGTCAAGCTGCGCGGCGAGGGGCAGGAGCGGTCGCTGCAGGGTGGGAGTCGAGGTGGGAGCGACCCCCGGGTGCGTCTGGCCCGTTGCCTTTTGAGGCGGCAGTGGCACGAAGCCGGCTCGGCGGGCGGGCTGACCCGAGCGCTGTACATGAAGGGCGGTACTTTGCGTGTGCCCAGGTGCATCGGATGGCGGAGCGACGCATCACGCCAACGAGGCGACGCAGCCCCCCGCCGGCTCGGCGACTTGCAAGAACGTGCCATGGCGAGGCCCACAGAACAGCGTTCAGGTCTCCTCGGCATGCTACCGCTGGCTTGCGCCGCTCCGAGTGTGGGAAGACGGGGAGGGCGGCGCAGCGCGGTCAATCCCGACTCCGCGCGCTAATCGGCCTGTCGCCGTCCCAGCAAGACGGGCACCATCCCTGCACGCCTACTGCAGTCGGTTCACTTGCACAGCACACGCTGCATGGGCGGAGACTGCTGAGCCGCTGCAGGCGCAGTCCACATCTGCCGAGTAGCGAGCGGCCGCCGAGGCACGTGTGCTGCACCACGCCCCTCTAGCGCACGCTGCTCGAGCTTGTCGCACGATGCCATGACATGGCCGATGTCCTGCCTGCGATACGTGTCTCGACTTGCCCCACTGACAGCAGGCTGGCAGCACTGCGGTCGTGCTGGCCACTCCGGTCAAGCTTCCAGTGCTGTGCCCCGCCCGAGATGCTGCATTCCGAGCCGCTGGACCACTGCCACTGGGGCGCTGCGCTCCCCACCCGCAGCCTTCGCAGGGACAGAACAGCGCCGGCTGGTGAAAGGCATGGAGCTTAACCTTGGCACGCCGGCGGCACCTGACTGCACGCTGGGTGCTGGCGCTTCCGCCGGGTGAGGCAATCGTGCATCTGTCGTGCCGCAGCACGCACTTGCGGCTGAACGTGCGGCGTGGGCGCAGCTCATGAATCGCCGAGGTGCGGAATCGCGAATTAGCGCGCATCGGGCACAGCGGCGGCGCGCGCGGCTGCGACCGGCCCGGCGGCCGACCTCGTGCGCCCAGCTGCACCCGCGCGTCAAGCTGCGTCGGGCCGTCATGCATCGGGGATGAATGGTGAGTCGAGAGAGGGTGGGGCCGGCTCCAAGCTAGCGCAACAGCACGCATGAAGAGTCGCCATGCGGGCCGTGCGCCGAGCCAGCACATGGGGCCGATAATAGCACGCAGCGGACTGGATGCTGCTGCTGCCTCCACCTCTGTTGCACGTGCCGCCCGCATGCCCGCCATCGTCCCGACCACCACCGCCAGATCCCGCTCGCCATGGCCACAACAGTCTCGCAGGAGTACGCCGAAGGTCAGCAGCGTTCTTCGCATCTGCGGCGCCTCGCTGAGCCCCGCGCGCAGGCGACGGCTACTTTCAGATCCGCTTCCTCATGATCCGTGCGCACGAGACGCTCCTTAAGGGCCTCGACAGCGTCGAGCAGCAGGTCCGCGACGACCACAGTTGTGACCGTGCGTGCTGCCGGTGTGCCGCCCGAGGCCCTACTGACGCCACGGCTTCGTTGCAGTCGCCAATTGGCTGGGCTACGTCGACGCATGGGCTGCATGCGTGCATCACCACCACAGCATTGAGGAGAAGGTGGGCAGCCTGCAAGCGGCGCGCTGCGCAGGGGCTGACCTGATGTTGCCAGGTGCTCTTTCCTCTGCTGGAGCGCAAGGGCCTCGGCGTGCATGTAAGCACCGCTGCTGCGCATCGAGATCCCAAGCTGACCTGCCCTTTGACAGACGGAGCTAGAACAGCACGAGAAGCTGCACGCAGATCTCGAGGCGCTCTCCATACGCACGACGGAGTGGCGCGCGAATCCGTCATCGTACAGCGCCGATGAGCTCGCGTCGCTACTGGCCGAGCTCGCGCCCAACTTCAGGCAGCACCTCGAGGAGGAAGTGGCGCACCTGACCCGCGAGCGTCTATCGCCGCAGGTGTCGAGCGACGAGCTCAAGGCGTGCATTGCTCAGCTCGAGGCCGAGGCGAAGAAAGGCGACCCCTTCGTCGCGCCGGTCTTCATGATGAGCCACACTGTAAGTCGGCGCGAGGCGTGGCTGATGCACTGTGCTGAGCCTCTCGCGGCTAGCCTCCGGCTCACAAGTACTGGTCGAATATGGGTGAGCAGCTCCCAGCACGTCGCCCGAGGTCTCAGCTGACGGCATCCTCAGGCTGGCTGATGTACCGCGTGCTCATCCCGGCGCTGTCCTATCGGCACGCCGGCTACTGGAAGTACTCGCCGGAGCCGCTGAACCTGTAGCCCGCCGCTCAGTCACGTCACGCCAAATGTCACTGTATGCTATCGCTTGAAGCACCAAGTCCTTACTCGGCTGGCCGGGCCACCAGCACCGTCTCGAGCGAGCCGAGGTGCTCGACACGCTCCAGCCGGAAGCCTGCGCGCTCGAGCAGCGCGCGGTACTCCATCACGGTGCGCTCCATGCCTCCGCCCAGCGAGAGCACCTGTATCGACGTCGACTGCAGAAACTCGGAGCTGTGCGGCGTCACCACGAGGTCGCCGATGAGGAGCGTGGGCGAGCTGGCGCCGCCGGGCGCCAGCATAGCCTCGCGAACGTTGCGCAGAATCGCCACGACCTCGTCGTCGTCCCAGTCGTGGAGCACGTTGCGCAGCTGCGGCATGCTCGAGTCAGAGGCGCAGCAAGTGTGGCGTGAGCGCACTCACCAGGTAGTGCTGATGCCCAGCCGGCACCGAGCCGGGAGCGAAGAAGTCGCCGCCCACGAACGACACCCGGCCCTTCAGCGGCGATGCGAAGAGTGCCTGGCGCGGTATCAGCGCTGCAAAGCCTCACATCTGGCTGTGCGCTCACTTGTGCTGACTGCTCGACGGTCGTAGGCCGGTCGAACAGGACAAACTGCAGGTCTGGATAGAGGGAGCCGAGCAGGCGGGGCGTGGCACCCTGGCCGCCGCCGACATCCACTAGAGGTCCGCGGCCGAGCGCACCCCAGTCGAATTCTGCAGCACAGCGATTAGCCAAGATCGGCGTAGCCACAGCGGGACGCACCCGTGGCGAACGAGTCCGGAAAGGCGCTGTGCAGCTCGCGCATTGCCTGGCCCATGCGCTTCTCGCGCATCTGGTTCTCGGGCAGTGCCACATGCGCAAAGTAGTCGAGGTCCGTGTCGTAGGCAACCTGGTAGGCCGTGCGCTTCTCGCCGGCGCCAGCAGCCGCCGGCAGGCTCTCCGCGGCACGCATGCCGTCGTCTCCGCTGGGAGCCATAGTGTCAGCCTGCGTCGTAGGACATGGGGCCGGATGCATCGCACATGAACGCAATGCCCTGCTGCAGGCTGCCGGGCCGGTCTGACCGCAGGAAGTTGGACAGCACGTTGTTGCGCACCTCGAGCGACCCGAACTCGCCGACTTCCTCGAAGATGCCCTGCTGCAGCACAACGCGAAGTGCCACCTCTGCCGGCGAGACGATCAGCTCAAAATCGCTCCTGAAGCCAGCTATCACCCACTGAGGTAGGCCGGCCGCACTTTGGCACGCTCTGCCAGCTCGTGCGCTGTAACAGTCTCCTCTCCGACAAGATCGGCCAGGCCCCAGCTGTTGGCTGCGTGCAGCGCGCGCGCCTGGCAGTGTGACTCTGCACGGCAGCTCAGCAGCGTTCTGAGGCGTACCCTTGGCTAGCATTCGACGCACCGGCGCGAGTGACCAGATACTGGGCGGGGTTCAGCGCACGCAGGATGCTGGAGGAGAGGCGCTCGAGCGCCGCAAAGTCGTCGAGGACTGGCTTGCTGGTGTCGGCAGCCCTGGTGTGGCGTGTTGAGCACATCCGCCGTTCATGCAGACCCAGCTGCTGCTCACCTGCTGTCGAGGTCGTCTGCGATGCGCTGCATCTCCCGCACGATCGACCCCAGCTGCTGCTTTGCCGGCGCGCCCGAAACGGCCCGCCGTGCCGTTCCGCGCGGCGGCGAAAGCATGGGCCGACTGCGCGCTGCACAACGCCAGGCTTGCAAAGAGGAAGTTCGTGCGATCATGGGCGTGGTAGGCAAAGCTTGTACGGCCAGGTTCCGAAGGGCTGCCGCACGTAGGGCGTCCAGGCGCTGGTGGAAGTGATTGCGAGGGAAGCACGTTGTGTCGCGTCCGTGACCGTGCAACGTGCTACGGGCAGCGGCACATGCTGTCCGACACACCGGTCCGCCGTGCTGCTGGTGCTGCGCTCAGGACTGTGAAGCTGACCGGTCGGCACTGCAAATCTCGCTCGGACGCTCAAGCTCAACCTCGGGCTTCTCACGGCCGCCGGTATCGCGCATCAAGCTCCACGCTGCGCCCTCGGCCAAACTGGCGCGGCGCTAAACGCGTGCCTCCCGCTAAGCACCGACAGCGCGGAAGTCGGGCCCGAGTAGGCGGTGCCATGCCAAATGACGTGCGACAGGGACGGCTGCTGCCGCTGCTTCCGCTCCACCACCTGCGCTCTCCGGGTTGCGTCCCGAATTAGCCTCGCGCTCTAGCCTCGCCAAGCGCAGCGGAGCTACAGGCGCTCGCGGAGATGGACGCCTGGCCCGTGCGGCGCGCCGGCGTCTTGGTGCGCATCGGGGCTCGCCTTACCGCCAGCGCGTCCTCCCGACAGCCGCATTCCGCACTCGCCCCGTCCGCCTCGTGCTTTGGCACTGCCGCACGTCGGCGTTAGAGGTTCCGCAGCTGGGAGCAACTCAGGGCACTGTGCGGCACTCATGAGGCAAAAAACGAGGCACAGCACGGCAGCGCGGAGGCAGGCCGAGGTGCTGACATGCCTGCTCAGCGTTCGAGCTGGCGTGGAGGAAGCTCGATGTGGGCACTCGCGCATGCCGCAAGGGCGCAGCCGCCGGCTGTCACCCCGCATGTGGGTTCCGCGCCGGTGCGGCTTCTCGACCGGGCGACGCAGGTGCTGCATGCTGTGAGACGCAGACCCGGCCGTGCAGAATGATTCGCAGCGATAGGGGCCAGGTAAGGGTCGCCTTATATACCCGTCCTGCATCGACCCCTCTCTGCTTCGACCACTCTCGCTGCAGGCCTCACCGCATAGCCATGACCGATGTCCTTGATCTCCTTCGGACTGCTGCGAGCTCTCCGCATGCCCTCACCTTCGTTGGCGCCCAACCACCTGACGGCGCCGGCAGCGCCGCAGCTTCCTCCAGCTTTGCAGCGCAAACACGCTCGTACGATGACCTGCTCCGGTGCTCGCGAGGTCTGGCATCGCACCTCGCGGCTGCTGAAGGCACCAAGAGAGGCGACATCGTGCTGATCCACGCTGCCACAAGTCACTGGGTTGCGTTCGTAGCCTGGTGGGCGTGCCAGTGGCTCGGCGCCCTGCCTTGCCCGCTCCCGCTGCCGCATCCCGATCCGAACCGGCAACAAGCGGTCATCTCGCACCTCTCTGCGCTCTTCGACAAGCCGCTCGTTCTGGCCGCGAGGGACGACATGGCCTCGTGGGACGAGTGCGCCCTGCGAGTGACCACCATCGACGGCTTTCTCTGCCCGTCGGCGATCGACTTGCACGGCGAGGACCTACCTCTGCTCTCCCGCCGCGAGCACGATGTCGCAGCTCTTATGCTGACGTCTGGCTCCACTGCCTTGCCCAAGGTACGTTCCGCCTCCGAGACGAAGCCGCGTCCATTAGTGCTTACGCCTCTCGACCGCAGGCCGTGCAGCTGACGCACGCGAACATGCTAGCTGCCGTGCGCTCCAAGGCCGCTCGCCTGAACACGGACAGCTCGACTCGCTACCTCAACTTCATTGCGCCGGACCACGTGGCAAACCTGACGGAGATCCATCTGGCCGCGATGCTCCACGGTGCCGCACAGGTACACGTCCGATCGGCAGACATCATCGGCCGGCCTCTCCTGCTGCTCGAGCTCGTCGATGCCTTCGCGATCACGTACACATTTGCGCCGAACTTCCTTCTCGCGCAGCTGCTGCTTCGACTGGACGGCGAGCACAGGGACGGCACGCGCAGCAACACCACAGCGCCGTCCCTCCGCACACTCCGAGTCTTCGTCAGCGGCGGCGAGGCCGTGCCCCACCGCACGGCGGTGCGCTTCAACGAGCTCTGCCTCAAGCTCGGCGCAGCCTCCGGTCCGCTCGTTGCCGGCTTCGGCATGACGGAGACGAGTGTGAGTCGCCATCACCTCGTTGACGCTCTGAATGATGCTCACCAAAGCGCCTCTTGCAGGCCGGATGCATCTATCGCGCTGCGGGCAGCCCTGCTGACGTCGGGCTCGACAATGCGCCAGTCGGCCTCGCATATCCCGGCCTCGAGGTGCGCCTGCTCGCCGGCGACTATCTGGCCGCGCATGACGGCCTCGAGACCGGCGAGCTAATCCTGCGAGGGCCATCGATCACCCGTGGCTACCTCGGCAATGCTGAAGCGAACGCAGAAGCATTCACTGCCGACGGCTGGTTCCGCACGGGAGATCGAGCGCGCATCTCCGCAGACGGAGTCGTCTCTCTGGTCGGCCGATCAAAGGAGGTGCTCAACATCAACGGCGTCAGCGTAGCCTGTGCAGACGTTCAGCGAGGCATCGAGGAGAGCCACATCGATGGCGTGCAGAACACCTTCACGGTCGTGTGCCCGTATCGGCCGGCGGACGCCGCGACCGAGTCCTATCTCGTCGCCTTCTTGCCGTCGGACCCAGCCAACGTGCTCGAGCCAGTGCTGCAGGTTGAACGTGCAGCGTGGCTCGCCGCAGGGCATCCACCGCTGGCCGTGCTGCCTCTCGACCGCAGAGAGCTCGGCAAGAGTGCACTCGGCAAGATCTCCGGCGCACGCATCGCTGGCGCTTTCGCTGCGGGCTTGTACAGAGACCTCGAGGCCGTTCTCCGGGAGGCGAAGCGACGTCGCCTTTCCGTGGAGAGCGCCAGTGCGAAGCCGCGCAGCGCATTCGAGACCGACATGGCCGCAGCGGTGCAGCAAGTCCTTGCCCTCGCCGACCCGCCTTCCTGCACTGCGAGCTTCGTCGAGCTCGGCTGCTCATCTCTCGCTCTTATGCGGATGCGCTCTGCGTTTGCCAGCATCCTCGGCCGGAAGGACTCGGACTTGCCCGTGACGCAACTCCTGCGGCATCCCTCAATCAGAGAGCTTGCCAAGAGCATGGCGTCAACATCACTCATGACGGATGGAGCGAGCTCTGAGGAGCCGGCCGAGCCCTACGATCCCATCGTGCCGCTGAGCACGTCGGGGCATGGCACGCCGCTATTCCTCATTCATCCCGGCGTGGGCGAGTGCTTGGTCTTTCTGAACCTGGCCAAGCGCTTCCGCGGCGAGCGTCCGATCTTTGCGCTGCGAGCACGCGGGCTGGGCTCGGAGCCGAAAGACGTCGACGCCTCGGGTGCCTCACTGACCCCCTCCGGCTCTTTCGCACGCTTCGACGACATGTGCAAGGCGTATGCGGCCGCCATCGTGGCGACGCAGCCACGCGGGCCCTATGCGGTGGTTGGCTACTCTTTGTGAGCTTGCACTGCCCTTCCTTCTTCTTCCACTCACTTGCTGACTCTGACCTGCAGCGGCGGTGTCGTGGCGTTCGAGATCTGCAAGCTGCTCGAGGCACAGGGCCGCGATGTCAAGTACACCGGCCTTCTCAACATTCCGCCGCACATCAGCTGGCGCATGCGGCAGCTCGACTGGGACGAGATTGCGGTCAACCTGGCGCTGTTCCTCGGTCTCGTTCCCTCGGAAGACGTCGAGCCTCTGCGGCTGCACATCGCGGAGAAGAGAGAGCTGCGGCAGCTGTCGCCGGCAGCTCTGCACCCTCCAGACGGCGAAGGACACTCCCAGTCCGTCAAGTCAAACGCGTGCGCCAGGGTCGTCGACCTGCTGCGCCAGACCGCTCCGCCGGCGCGCCTGCTAGAACTAGGTCTGGACGCTCGCGCTCTGCATCGCTGGATCGACGTCGCAGCAGATCTGGCACGTTCGGCGCAGGTCTATGAGCCGCAGGGCAAGCTCGCGTGCGCCGCCACCGTCTTCGTCGCCGTGCCGCTCGCCGGCCTCGGCACGCGTGAGGAATGGCGACGCAATCATCTCGACGCGTGGCAGCAGTACGTCAACGGCCCGCTGCGCTTCGTCGATGTCGACGGTGCACACTACACGATGCTCGACGACGCTCACGTCGAGTCCTTCGCCGGCTGCCTGCGCAAGGAACTCAAGCTCGCCGGCGTGTGAATAACATGCCCTTGCCTCGCCTCTGCTTGCTTGCAGGTGCAGATGAGCGGCTCAGGGTCACGGCTCACACAGTTGTCCGCCGCGCACATCACCCAGAAGAAGCCTTGTTGACTCGCAGGTGGCATTGACGCTGCTATCGATAGAGACAGAGTGCAGCATCTAAGCGCTTGCTCGCGGGACGTGTTCCGGATGTGCCTTCAGTGTCCGCGCCCCCCTCAGTCCGCACGCTTGTCGGCGTGGGCCGGCGGCACCAGAGTCTCGCGACTTTCGTCGCCGAGCTGCATCAAGCCTTGCCGTTCGCCCTCGCCCGCACGCCCGCCCAGTCCCTCGTTCTGGGCCTGGCGCATGTTCGTGCCGCGCGATGCGGTTCGAGGCGTGGCGTCCTCCTCGTCGTCGGAGCCCTCCAGCGCGAACATGGTCGCGCCATCGCTCACTCCTGTGCGAGTGGTCGGTGCAGAGGACGGCGCCGCGCCGGCCCCGCCTTGCGGCCGAGCCCGCCCCTCCTCCTCGTCCGCCTCTCGGTCGTGATGCGGTCCGAACTCTGCATCGGTGGACTAGGGTCAGCACCAGTTAGAATGCGCTGCCGGAGCGTCACGGCCGCACCATCGATCTCAAAGTCTTCCGCGTCGAGGTCGTCGTCCTGAGCCAGCTCGTCGGACATAGACAGACGCGCGTTGCTGCCGGTCGGGCGCCAGACCCAGGCGATAGCAGCAAAGACTGCGAGCAGGGGAGTCAGATGCTGGACGCGCGCGATCGACGCAGCACGCACCGATGAAGTACACCGTGCCCAGCCAGCCGTCCAGCAGCACCCAGCGGTACGGCCATGCGCTGGCCGACGTCTCGCCGCCAGCCTGTGTGAACGCGACCGACGTGATGACGAAGCTGCGGCGCATGCTGTCAGCGCGCGAGCTTCTCTGCCAAGGCGCCGGCTTGTACGCACAATGCAAAGATGGACACGACTGCGCCGAGCAGGATGCGGTACAGCTTGGTGAACATCATCTTCTTGTACGTCTGCTTGCGCGCAGCGAGGTGCTCGATCGTTGCGTTGAGCGCATGCAGCGTCCACATGAGGAAGGACGAGAGCGTGAATGCGAGCGGGAAGATGAACATGAAGACCCAGGCGCCGCCCGTGTCAATGAGGATCCTGCGGCGATGCTGTCAGTGCTGGCGCCCGGCTAGCGGAGGATCCGACAGTGCACCCACATGACGATGCCGATCGAGTAGAGCACGCCGCACACAAAGTGCACGGCGGTCAGCAGCTGCACGCGGCGCATCACGGGCCCGATGCTGGGCCGGACCACGGAGAGGCCCATCGAGACGCAGAGCAAAATCGCCAAACTCGCACTGGTCTTGGTGGCGTCGAGGATGCTCGTGAGCACGAGCAGGAAGCGCGCCATGCTCGTGACGCTGGCCTGGCCATCCAGCGACGCGATGCGCCAGAAGTCCATCACGTGCGTGTCGAGATACCGGTAGTAGAGCCACTGCGTGGCGCTGGCGACGAGGAGCAGCGTCATGAGGGCAGAGATGAAATGCTGCACCATCAGTAGGCTGACAAGAGGAAAGTCAGCGAGCAGAATGGCCTGCTTGGATACGAGACGCACTCGTCACGATGCTTGACGCAGAGATAGCCCCATGCGGCGCCGAGCAGGATGTACAGGCACGTGAGGGTGAAGTAGAACTGCGCACATCGAGCTCAGCGCGTGCACCACGAGCGGTCGCGGGCGCTACATTTGACGCACCTGCAGCTTGGGCCACTCGCCCGCAGGGAGCTCGCCGCTGAACGCATTGCGGAAGTGGATGCGTGCGGTGAACGCCGATTCGGTCGATCCTGCCGTGACGAGGGGCACCGCAGCTGTACGAAGCACGCGGCAAGGGGCGCTTGTCAGGGGAGGCACGGGAGCCTGCGAGACCGCAACCCACCCGCACCAACGCAGTAGAATCCCGTCTTCGTCACGGCGTAAGTCTGCAGGCACAGTGTCTGTCAGCATCGTGGGTCCGCGGCGGCTCCGTGGAGCGTCGTGCCGAGGGAGCGCGCAGCACGCCATGGCGGCCGAGCACACGGCAGGCGCAGCTCACCGTGTTCTGACCGCTCTTCCCGTCGAGCTCGACACGCGTCTTGACGATGGTTGTGCCGTCGGTGGAGTCGCCCTGCACGAGAAAGTCGCCCTGCTGCTCTGCCTTGCACAGCCCCTGCGCAACTGCCTTGGCGGTGCAGATGTACGTCTGCAGCTGCAGGCGGCCACCAGGTTCGCGGTCAGTCGGGCGCACGCTGCGTTGTGCGACCTCGCTGCGGCACTCACTGGCCGATCGAGAAAGTCCTTCTCAAGCCCCGCCTTGCCCAGCTTCGGGAAGTCGTCGTACTCGTACACTATTGTGGCTACCGTCGCGGGACCAGGGGCGCTGAACTTGACTAAGGTCGCAGACTGGCGTCAGCAGCATGCGCAGAGAGGCGCACACACCAGAGCCGACGCCGAAGCGAGGCTCTCGCCCAAGGTTCTCTTGCTCGGCTGCTCATCGGCGGCCGAGTCGCACCGCCGCACGCGCAGCGATGAACGCTCTGAACATCTCCTCGGCTCGCCGGCGCGGTAGGACATTCGCCTCTCCCGCCGCGCATCCCCGCCGCCATCCACATTCGCCGCTCGAGCGCTGGCCACTCACTCTCGATCGCCGTGCCCGGGCCACTCCACATGCCCGAGCAGCTCTGGCGCAGCGGGTCCGCATCTCCGACCTCGACGGTGTAGGCGCACGCGCTGCGGGCCAGCAGGGCAAGAGCGAGGCCCGCCAGTGGCAGACGCATGGCGCGCGAGGCGGTCCGTGCAGAGGCGCACGCGGATGCGGGGGTCGCAGAAGCGCAGGTCTGGCCCAAGATGCGCAAGAGAAGCCGAGGCGCAGGGAGAGGGAGCCGGGAGAACGGGCGAGAGCGCAACGGGCGAGCTGGCCGTGGTGGAGACGACAGCGGCGGCGAGTGGCAGTGCAGGCGAGAGAGAAGAAGCACGCGGCGGCCGCGGCGCGCATCGCAGCACAGCCGCCCTCGCTGCTCTGCTGCGCGCGCCACGACGCACCTCCGCGCGGCGGTGCTTGGCGCAGCCTCAGCGTGAGGTGGCCCTCGTCACCGACACCGCGGCAGCATGATCGCAGCCACGAGAACGCCAGGTCGAAGGATCACGCCCACGTCAAGCACGGCACACTTATACTGCCCGCAGCGGAGGACTGAGCGAGACGAATGCCTGCCCACACATCCTCTGCCAGAGATCTCGCACGGGGTGCCTGGGCAGCGAAGGACACGGGGCCGCCTCCGCCGCGCCTTCTTCTGTGCCGCAGAGGTCGACGTGCCCAAGGGGGCTTCACGCAGCGTGTTCGCAGTAAATATAGGTGCAATGCATGGGCAGACGCTGGAGTACAACAAGAGGCGCGTAGGCTTTCGGTACAACGAGACACGGCAGGGGACGGGGAACAGGGGACGCGAGGGGCGGGGGGGACGGACGGGTCGGGAAGTATGTGTGCGGATGCGTATTGGGAGAGGACAGGCCTCGTGCGGGAGGAGCAGCGGGCCCGTCGCTCAGGCCTGCAGGGGCAGGCGCGGCTTGATGGGTGCCAGCTCGTCCTCGGCGCCCGGGGCCAGGCGCGGGAAGGCGGCACGGGCGGCCGTGGCAGCGGCGGGACCGTACAGCGCAGCGGCGACCGAGTCGTGCTGCGCTGGGCCGCCGGGGTTGGCGCGCGCCCGCTGCGGCAGGTGCAGCGCGAACTGCGCACTGGACGCCTGGGGGTGCAGGAATGCGCCGGCGGTGTGCGCCGGCACGATGCCCGCTGCGCCGCCCGTGGCGCCCGTCGTCGACGGCGGGTGGTGCACATACTCGGTGCCGAGAAGCGGCGTGCGCGGCGTGCTCGGGTACGAGCCGTCGGAGTGCAGGCGGTGGTGCGCCGACGAGTGCCCGGCGTACGAGCCGGAGCCGCCGAGGCCGGTCGACGACGGCAGCATGGGCGGCGAGAAGAGCGAGGCGCCGCTTGCGCCGGAGCCGCCGAGACGCGACGACTGCGCGGCGCTGCCGTACACTGGCGAAGACACGCCGCCGGCGCCGCCGCCGAGGGACGGCAGCTGGTGCAGCGAGCCGTTCGAGTACAGCGATGGTGACGCCAGAGGCCGCGAGGCTGCCGAGCCGATGGGCGTCGACGCAGACCGGTCGTGGCCGCCCATCGAGTCCTGGAAGCGCTGCGGCTGCTGCTGCTGCTGCTGCAGCTGGTGCTCCTCGGCGAAGGTGCGGCGCTCGTAGCCACCGCTGCGCGGCTGATCGCGTGCGTAGATGTGCGGCGAGGACGACGTGTGGTGGAGCGGCGGTGCCGAGGCGGCAGAGAAGTGCGGCGAGCCGGCGAAGGCAGAGTTGTCCACGTCGCCGTTGCTGCCGTAGCCGCTCGGGCTGCCGCGAGCGAAGCTGGCGCTCGCGCTGTTCGAGTTGGAGGCGCCGCGGCTCGAGTCGTCGGCGCGGGTCGAGGCACCGTTCACGGGTGCGTAGCCCAGGGCGGCGCCGCCAGCGACGCCGGTGATGGTGGCAGCGCGGCGCTTGTATGGCCCGCGCTTGATGCCGCGCTTGCGCTCCTTGCGCGAGCTGTCCTGGCACGAGTCCGTGAGGCCGTACTTGACGCAGCGCGAGCATGGCCGGCCCTCGTCGCACTTCTTGCACGCCTTCTGGCAGTTGATGCAGGCGTTCTTCACCTGCTTGCGCTTCGGGCGCGTCTGCATGCCGCCGTTGGCGCCGCCGTGCTGCAGGTGCTGGCCGCCGTTGACGTGCTCGTACGAGCTGTGCATGCCGTACAGCGCCTCGGGCGAGCCGGCGGCGTAGCCGTAGTGCTGCTGCGACGCGTTGCCGCCGCTGCCGTTGCTGTGGCTGTACATGCCGCCGTGTGTCGGTGCCGAGCTGGTACCCGGCAGAGGCAGGAAGCTCGACGACGTCGAGGTTGCGTAGACGCCCTGCTGCGGCTGCGCCTGCGATGCCGCGTAGCCGCCGTACGACGTCTGCGCCGCCGAGGTGTGGTGCTGCCCGGCGTACGTCGGGGCGACGCCGCCGTAGCTGTGCTGCTGGTGCGCCGTCAGAAGCGGCGCGGCGCCCGAGGCGGAGTTGTTGAACAGCGGCGATCCGTAGCTGCCGCCCTGGGCCGCGGCGGTGCGCTGCTGCCCGTAGCCGGTGCCGGCGCTGGAGGAGGGAGCCGGCTGCGTCGGTGCGTAGAACGACGACGACGCCGGCAGCGACGTGGCGTCCATGTGGCTCGAGTAGTGCGGCTGCTGTGCCGACTGCTGCTGTGCCCAGTAGCCGGTGTCGGAGAGAGGACGGGACATGGTGCGAGGTGTCTGCTGAGGGAGAAGATGGGGATGAGCATGAGGTGCGGCGCTGGGCAGAGGTCATGGCGTCGGCAGCCGCAGCAGCATGTGGTGGGCCGGACGAAAAGCTGCCATCCCCACGGTGCCATTGCGATGGACTCGGGTCCGCGGCTCCATGGCCGCGCGAAGGAGCCGTCCGGAAAGGACGGCTTCAAGCAATCAGAGCGACCCGCCCGAACGACGGCCGGGCGACGGAGCCAGCTGCGGCACGAAGATTTGGGCGAGCGCGAGGCTGAGGGGGTGGCGGTGAGGCGGAGAGCCGCGAGAGCTCGCCGCCGCGCACGGCGTGCCGTGCCTCGCGCGTGCCTGACGCGCCGCAGCGACCCCCCGCAGACCGAGGCCGGCCGACGTCCAAGTGCTGCCCCGGCACGGGGAGCCCCCTGTCACTCGGCCCGCGCAACCTTCCCGCGCCGCGACCAGCGTCGGGACAGAGCGGGCCGGCAGGTGCAGACGTGCTTGAGGAGCAGGCACCGGCCGCGGCGTGCTATTCTCGGCGCCGAGAGGCGAGGAAGCGCTACTCACACTCGGGGCGGGCGACTCGGTGCCTGTGCTGCGGCTGGCGGATGCGACGTCGTGAGCGGCGCGCGCGAGAGGCAGAGGCGAGGATGAAGGAGCGGCGGTGCGCACGGAGGAGGGCTGCGATGGACGAGTCGGAGGGAGAGCGGCGGGGGCCAGCAGACGGGGCCGAGCGGGCGGCGTGGGCCCTTAAGACGGGCGGAGGCGCGGAGCGCGGAGCACGGCGGAGCGGCGGAGGGCGGAGCAGGCAGCGGACTGCGCCAGGGCACGGCGCAGGGGCTGCACCCGTCCCCAGTCTGCACCTCTGCTGCAGAGGCAGCGCTCTGTCTCGCTTGCTCTCTCTCTCTCTCCCGCATCCTCTGCAGACGCAGCTGCGGGCATGACCTGATGCACCCGCGAGACGCGCCCCTCGCCTGCCGCGCTGCACTGCGGAGCGGGGAGCGCCGCACGCCGGGCGGCGCACGGCGAGGCGGCAATCGTCGCGCCGCCAGAGGGCCAGGCGCACGCACGCCGCCGGCACTCGCCGAACCACGCGCGATGCGGCGGCGCCCGCGTGTGGCTGATGGCGGCTTCCCTGCGGCGTGCGCGGGTGCTGCTGCCGCGCCTGCTGCGGCAGCCCGCCCGTGTCCCCCGCAGCAGCGCAGCATTCAGCACACGCACCGCAGCCGCACGTCTCGCACCCGCCTTGCTCGTGCGCGTGTCAGCGCAGCGCAGCGGCCGCTCCGCCAGCATCCAGAGCACGGCTGCCGCCGGCTGCTCCTTCTCCCCCGCACGCACCCTTGCCGCCGAGCCTCCGACGCCGACAGCACGCGGCACCGGCGTTGGAGTTGGTACCACACGGCGTGCCACGGGCAGCGCCAGAAGCCGCGCCGGCGCCGGCAAGTGCAGACGCGAGAGCGCAAGGCACGCGCGGCACTCTGCTCGCAGAACCCTCGGGCAGTGGGCGTCGCGAGTGCGCTCTCGCAGCCGCAGCAGCTATTTCCGTCGTGCAGCACCCGCCGAGTGTGCTGCATGTGCGGCTCTGGCGCTCGTCTGGCGCGGCAGCAGAGATCTCTCCGCTGCGCGAGGGCGTGCGCAGCGGCGCTGCGTGTGGCTTTCGGACCCCGACGGCACCTCTGCCCCGCGACGCGCCCCTGCGAGCGCAGGCACGGCGCCTGTGTCGGCAGGAGCGCCGGCGCCGCGCTGCGCTGCGGCGCCTGCACCGAAGCCGCGCTCGACGCCCAGCGCGTTGGAGCGTGCAAACATCGCCCATGCACCTCTCTCGTCAGCACCCAGCGCCCAGCAGCGCGATCAGCGCTCGCCAAACGATCGTCCTTCCCACGCCGGACCCCCATTTGGCGAACGGTGCGGTGGCCGCTGAGGTTGGCGCTGATGGGAACAGCACCCCAGAGCATCTCAGCGTCGGCGCGGCCCGCCTGCGCGCGCTACGTCGCATTCGATCCCCTCCTTCCCTCGAGCGTTCCTGACATGCCTCTCTCGCCTCTCGGAGCCGCACGTCTGCGACGTAAGCTAATTCTGCGGCGCCGTCAATCAGCACGCAGCCGCGACAGCGGCACGCCCAGCGCGCCCAGCATGGCGCAGCCCCGCCGCTGCCGCACGTGTCGGAGGCCCTCAGCCTCAGCGCCATGCTGCACCCAGGCGCCTCGGATGGAGTTGGACTCCAGATGCATCATCTGAGTCAAGTCGGCGTGTGTGCCTGGCGAGCACGCGGCACGCATGCAGCGCCTGGCGTGCTCTCGCCGCGAGGCGACGCCCCCTGTCGCGCGCTTTCGGCTGCGCGGCAGTCTTGTTGCGGCAGAAGCAGCACGTCGACACGTCGGCCGCGGCCAGCACGCTCTGCCGAGCAGCACGGCGATACTCGCCCCTGCGTCCAGCTCGATAGACATGCTCGGCTGCGGCGACGGCGGCCGCCCAGCGTGGGGCGTCGACGATGCGGTCTTCGAGCGCGGCGATACTCGACGGCGCAGCGTGCAGCGAAAATGCAAATCTCGACACGCGCGCGCGCGCTCGGCGGGCACGCAGCAAGGATGCAGGCCTGGGCCCTGGCCGCCGCCCGTGCCGCCGGCCGCGGTGACTGCACTGCAGCAGCGGCCTGGACCTCTCGGCGTGCGCCATCTGCACCGCTGCATGCCGCAGCCGTGCAGCGGCGCCGATGCAGCAGCAAAGCATCAAGGCGTGATGCCTCGCTGCAGCTCCTGCGCTTTTGAGCCCTCCTGCAGAGGCAGCTGCTTGGAAATGCTGCAGTCTGCCGTTGCGACTGCGAGGTGGTGCTGCTCGCTCGCCGGACCGCCTGCCTCCGGCGAGCGGGGCCGTCGGCGGCGGCGTTTGGAGCGGCGCAGCGCGCAGAGCAGGCCGCCCATCTGCCTCTGTATCTGCCCAGCTGCAGGAGAGGAGGCATCGCACGCCCGGATGCCGTGTACCACAGCCGCTCAACGCCGCCTCGCATGCCGCCTACGCACCCTTGAACGCACCGACGTAAGCCGTCGCCCGCGAGCGCCGGTGGTCCAGGCGCAGCTCCCGATGCCGGTGTCGCCCTGTGCGGCACGGCCTCCTGCGTGCTCCACCATGGCGCTCGCACGTCCGCGCATCGCACCCCTCCCGGCGTCCGGCTCCGCCCACGTTTGCCGCTCAGCCTGCGACGTGGAGCAGCGCCGCCTCAATGATCAAGGCAGAAGGTTCGGCGGCCGTCGCCTGCGCCGTCGAGCACGCAAGTGCGACACCCGCCGATCCCCTCCGAGCGCCCCCTCGACGCCCGGGTGCTGTTGTGCCGCAGCGTCCATCTCGCACTCGCTGCCGATCCCGCCGCATCCGCATCCAGCGGCGCTCGACGGCGCAGAGCATATCCGACGCGGAAAAATCGCAGCCCTCGTCGGTCCGGAGCGGCCCCGAAGGCGTGAGCGAGCGATAATGCGGCGGCGGCAGGCGGGGCCGGAGGCAGCAGAGCAGCAGCGCGCAGCTCTGAGCCCTGCGCAGCGTTTACCCATCGCCCACCACCGCGCCGCACGCATGGCAGCCGATGCAGCACCATCGCCATCTGCTCAGCGAGGCACCGCAGCGCAGCACAGCAGCAGTCGCTCAGGGGCAGGCGAGAGACGCGGTGCGGCCGGCTGAACGCTGCGACGCTGCCTCTGCACGCTGCGCCTGCGCTGCAGCGCGGCGGCAGAGGCCGAACGAAGCAGCGCTTCGCCTGCGCCTGCGCCAGCGTGCCCTGCACATGGGCGCTGTGGCTTGGCGCTAGCGCAGAGGGCCCGCGCCAGGGCGCGCTAACGCGGCTTCCACTGCATGGAATGCGACGAGCCGTGCCTTGCCCTCGCACGCGTCCGTGGCGCCGCCGCGGGAGCGCAGGGTCTCCTTCAGCGCCGAGCGCTCTGAGCGCTGGAGCGGAGGCGGCGGGGGTGTCAACCTACACCTCCCTCTTGCTCTTGGACAAGCTCAGGCTGAGTGCGAGGTGCGCAGCTGCAGTGCGGGGAGCGCCGCATGCGCCGCAGCGGAGCCATCGCCGTCGGCGCTGGCGCCGGGCGGGCCGCACCGACCCAAAGCATCGCCGACGAGCAGGCTGGGAGCAGGGGCTGGCATGCGTCTGGCGGCGCGGTCATCTCCCGGCCGAGTGAGAGGGGCAGGGGCGTCCCGAACGCTGCAATCCGGGAGCCAGGCACACTCCGCCAGCAGGAGGGCAAACGCAGCGGGCGCACTCGGGCGCAGCATGTCCCGCACTCCCGCTTGAGCAGTGTGCACGGCCCAGCTGCTGGGCGTGCGGTCCACGCCGCTTGACAACCCTTCCGCTGCCCCTTCCTGGCACGAGCTTGAGATGACCCTGTCGCGTCTGCGCGACAGGAGTATGACGGGTTCGACGAGCGATGAGCTCTCGGGACGGCTGGGGAATCAGCCCAAGGATGTGCTGCGGCAGGGGTTGCAAGCCACGCCTGCACGCCTGCGAACAGCGGGAGACAGCATGGCCTGCTTGCACCGGAGGCCAGCCTCGTCGAGCCTGACTCGTGAGCGTGGGCGGACACACAGCACTCTGCACCAGCAGCCACTGGCCTCCAACCCGGTGCCGTTTGTGAGTTTGCCACGTCGTGTACGGGAGCGTCATGCCGCCACCCAGACAGCGACACCGCAGCATTCTCGCCACATGACATCTCAGAGCAAGGTATTTGATTGGCCGCCGCAAGACTGCAGTGGCCATCCGTCTCGGCGCGAGCGGTGCATGTGAGCGGCGTCAAGCCTACGCCGGTGTGGACGTCTCGCAGGCTAGAGCGGCTGCTGAGGCATCCACGTCGACGAGCCAGCAGCCCATGCCGCGCCAAAAGTGACGCTGGCGGGCGCCGCCGTTCCAGATCGGACACAGGCTCGCGTGAGAGGCGTCCTGCAAATGGAAGACCTCCCAGCGGTCGGGAGGTGGAAGCGCCGGAGGCGCCGGTGCGGTAGCTCGCGATGCAGGCGCAGCGAAGAGTGACTCCTCGTCTGGCACAGCATGACGCAGTCTGTTGGACAGCAGCGTCGCGGCACGCGAGAAAGTGTGCCAGAGCGCGCCGCTGTCCGCAGAGGACTTGGCAGAGAAGGCGACGTCCAGGCTGGGCGCGAGGTGCTGCTCGGGCAGGTGGAGCGAGTGCAGGCAGGACACTTGCTCGCAGCTGCCCGGATGGTACTGCGATGCGAGCGGCACGACGCCGTCGTTGGCGTACCAGGCTTCATGCTCATGCTCGGATGCGGCCGTCGCCAACTTCTCGTCGAGCTCCTCAAAGGCAGGCATCAGAGGCTGCTGCGGTCCGGGCGAGCTGTAGCCCGAGTCGTCGTGCGGACGCCTTGTCGCTGCTCGCCGCGAAGCGTCGAGGAGCGCATTGCCGGCACTGTGGTCGGAAGAGCCTGGGAAAAGCTCGGAGGGACGGGCGACGGAGAAGTCGAAGCGGCCCAGGAGGCGCGACGTCAGCACCAACGGCGCGGTCGAGAGTGTCCACTGGAACGCTGTGGTAGGCTGGTGCATGCGCGGCCGAGGTGCGCTCTCGCTCGTGCCGAGAGCCTCGACAGGCTCTGTCATGTACTGTTCGCAGGTGATCAGTTTCGGCGGGGCGAAACGTCGCATCGAGACTACGCACGCAAGCAAAGGAGCGGAACCAAGTCGGCGCATGTCTCCCTTGCTCTGTCCCGACGATCCATGCCTCGGGCTCCTCTTGCTCGCAGCGGGCACGCTCGCCCAGCGTGCAGTCCCATGGCGCGCAGTCGCGGCCCTCTGCCCATTCGCTGCGCCAGAGATTGCCCAGCAGAGACGGCAGTCCCCAGCCTGCGCGCCAGCTCCATCCCCGGCCAGACACACTCGGCGGTGCTTCTGCCTGCGCAGTGCTGCCAATGCTGCTGTCGACGAGCTCCGCATGAGATCGTGCACCTGAGAAGGCCCAGGCGTCGGCCTGTGGGTCGGGAAGGACGCGACGTGCAGCAGCAAAGTGCGCGCGCAAGAAGACGGCGAGATGCACCGTCTTGGCGAGCATGTCGCCGGCGCTCAGGAAGCGGACTGCAGGCGAGGGCGACGGCTGCTCTCCGAGCAGATAGACGAGTGGTGTGCCGCGCAGCGGCGAGGAGATCGTCGTGATGGAGCGGACCATGTATGCCGCGCGCGATGGCTCGCCTGCAGGCGTCTCGATCTGGAGCACGTCGTCGAAGAAGCCGGCGTTGAGAAGGCTGCGCAGCTTCAGGATCGTGGCGCCGCCGAGCGAGTGCCCTACGAGATGCACAGGCCGCTCCGCGCTCCATGCAGCGTATGCGCCGCCTTGCGGCGGGTACGAGCGACCCCACCGCCCATGACCGTGCTCCGCCGCATGCGCCGCGCCATAGTCGACGGTGCCGCCACGCAGCGAGTAGAAGAGCTCGCAGGCGCGGTCGTGTATGCTAGACACGGGGCCGATAGGCGCCCAGATGACTCGGCGCGGCGCCTGTGGGGGCGATCCGGGGTGCTGCGGCCGCTTGCCATCTGCTGCAGCCCTCTGCGCTCGTCTGTGCTGCTCACCCAGCTGCATCTCCACGGCGAACTCGCCCCACAGGAAGCTCGACGCCGCGCAGAGGAAGCCCTCCACAATGACGAGTGGCGCGAGCTCGTGCTCCTGCTCTTCGCGCGGCGGCGGCGGCGGCGCTGCAACGCCGCGAGACGGCCCGGCGCCTGCATCGCCTGCCGCCCACGGGCTGTGTGTGCCGGCCATGCCCTCGTCCAGCGCTGGGTGTGGCGCAGTCCTGGGGCGTTGCGAGTGCGCCTGGCGGCTGCGTCACGCTGCTGCCGATGCGCTGTGGCCGATGTGCTGCGGTCAGGTGTGCGCGTCTCGCGGCACGAGTGCGCCGTGCGGTGCTGAGCTGTGCGGTGCTTTGAGGTGATGTGGTCGCAATGCAGCCTGTCGCCGACGCTGACGAGCGTGCGCGAAGATCGTAAGGTTTGCGCGGCCCGGACTTAACGGCGGCAAGCTGATGATGCGGAGCGCCGCCGGACACATCCGCGGGATCGCCGCCGCAGATCGCCGCCGCCGCCGCCGCCGCCGCTCCTGCCGCCGGCGATCTTGATAGTGACGCCTCGCCTCCGAATCGCCTCCCTCGCCATCCCTGGCGCCGCACGATGGCATCGTCGCGTCTCGAGAGCAACCGGCAAGGACGCCAGAGCATAAGACGAATCTCTGCAGAGCCACTTGCTTACCGTGCCCTGCTTCTCTGCCAGACTTTGTGCTCGCGCGAGCGTCAGTCGCAGGCACACGCCGCGCGCGCGAGCAACTGCGGACAGCCGGCGCCTGCTGTACGAGGCGTGCAACGGGTCCGAGTGGCAATTTTTCCCGTTCGAAATCCCCCGGATAGACTCACGAGTGGCCCGCCGTTCTCAGAAGCCCCTGTCCAGCCGCGCACCCGGTGTGCACGACGCCTCTATGTGTGTGCGTGCAGCGGCGATCAGCTGCGTACATGGACGAGTGTCCCACTACGCGGCGCCAAGCGAATGCACGGCTGCTACCTCTATATAATCCCCCTTCCTATTCGTCTCAAGGATTCGACGTAGCTTACTCCCAGTCTGGGAGCTGGCAGGAGTGCGAGTCTCATATGCCGGGTCGGAGGCGCATCAAGGCGGGCAATACGCCTGTCGCGTTTCGAAGTAGCGACGAGTCCCGAGGAAGGGGTCATGTTCCGTTCGAAGGCGCTGCTGATCGTGTACAGACCTAGCTCTTCCATGGAGCTTCTGGAAGACAGCCTGAGCACTTTGAATGGTCACTGTGTTCACCTGGCGCTTCCTTTCGCGCTGGGAGACAACGCGTGGCTCGCTCCGCGCCATCGAGCTCAACGTCAGCCCTCGAGCGCTGCTGTGAGGCTTGCTGGTGCCGGTGCACAGCTAGCCGCACTCAGACTCCCAGGCACAGGCACAAAGTGCATGCGCATCGCTGCTCTCCGTCCGCATCGACGACGGTACATTTGACGCATGGCAAGTGCGCCTCGATGCGGCGCCAACGCGTTCGCCTCGCTGCTTTCACAGGAGGACGGCGCCTCGCGCTGCTGCCGCATGAATGGCGACTCGGCACACCAGGACGCCGTAGCAGATGCAGCGTCAGTAGCGCCTCCAGGTGAGCGAGATCGACGACGGCGACGTGGTGCGGCGCGGCCTCTTGCCGGGGTGCGCAGGCGCCAGATGATGCTGCTCGGCAGCGGACGCGGGCGCGGAGCTCAAAGGCAGCCGGCGCTCTCACGCAAGCGCCTTCGCGCCAACGCGGCGGCGCAACCACAAGCGCTTCTGCCTTCGTTCCAGCCGCATCGCGGCCCCGACTCAGCCTCTGCAGCTGCCGAACGAGCTGCTCCGCATGACAGCGGCAGGCCCCGCCCGCTCGCAGCCAGCATACGGCGATGGCGGCTCGGCAAGGCCGGTGCGAAGCTCCGTGCGGCGTGCAGCCCGGCGCATAGCGTCACTGCGTCAGCGCGGACGAGCACGGGCCCGTCACACCACGACAGCGAGCCAAGCAGGCACAAATTGAGCCCGATGGACGCTGGCAGACGCCAACACTGTGCAAGCTTGTCTGCGCCATCGCCGGCGAGCGCGGTGGGGACACGAGGAGCTGGTGCTGGACGATGCGCTCAGACGTGTGCGGAGATCGCACCTCGCGGTGTGATGAGGAATAAGCATTTTGCAGCCCATCATCGCGGCTCCATCTGCGAGACGGCTTGTGCTGGGCGCCTCGCTGCCCCTGGGCCCTGACGCACGCCTCGTTGTGCCTGCGCGCCTGCTGCGCCCTAAGCGGCGCCGGCATTCGCTATTCTTATTCACGCTACGACAGCAAGTCAACGCAAGGGATCGGCGGCCACGCGGGGCAGGGTGCGCTGATCCGCGAGATGCGAGATGCGGTCTGCAGACAGCAGCCGTGCTGCCGCCGGCAGTGCTGCTGTGCTGAGTGCATCTGCATCCGAGACGGCAAGCAGCGGCGAACGGAGCGCAGAGATGCCTCCGCCTGCGGCTGAGCGGCCGCTGCGTTCATGCCGCAGCCGCTCGAGCACGCGCCGGGCACGCGGCAGCGCAGGCGCTAGCAGCGCGCCGATGCCCTTCTAGCACGCCCGCTGGCGTGCTCCTCCATCACCATCATCCGCCGTGCCGCTCATGTCACGCAAACAGCACCGTGTCGTTCCCGCGCTGAGCGTTGTGCCGTCGAGCGACAGTTCTACCTAGCGCGCACGGCCGGCGGAGGGCCTTGGGCGCTGCTCGCCGTTGCCAACGCGTCGCGACGTGAGAGGAGCGCGTCGCTGGGCCGCGGGCTGCCTCTGAAGCGGCTGAGACGCGAGCCTTGGAGGCAACGCAGTGCAGCGCTCTTGCCGTGCTGCGGGTCTGCGACGGAAGCAGCGAGACGAACCATTTCTACATCGCAGGGCGTGAGGAGGATCGGCTCGGCACAGCAGCACCCATCCTCGCTCGGCACGGCCTCTTTGCGCTGCAGGATCAGCCGCGCGCGCATGAACGGCGCGTAGGCTTCCTTTCCGCCTGCCGCAGCGGAAGCAGACGCCGCCGCCGTCGCTGGGGCCAAGCATCCGGCGGCACGGCGCCAGCACGGCGCCAGCATGCCTGTGCCCAACAAGCAGCGCGGCTGCGCTATGCTTGGCTGCTCTCGCTTGCCCTCCTGAGACGTCGAGTGAAGGTCTCGTCGCGCGAGCAAGCGCGGCAGTTGATGAGGTGCCGCGCACCGCAACAACGGGCGCGCTGCAGCGCAAACTCTACGCCTGCCCCTGCGCTGATGCGTTGTTCCATCTCTCGCTGCTTCACGGACAGCAGACGAGAAGCAAGATGCGGTCAACTGGACGTCGTTCAGGCCGAGCTCGTCGTTTGAGACGGGAAGCTGATGCGTTCTGCTCCTGCGGGCAGCGCTAGGCAGGGCCCGCGCTTCCCCGCGCGTGCCAGCGCCAGGTGCGGCTCGCCCGCCGAGGCAGAGTAGATGCAGCCGGCCTCCCAGCAGCGCTGCAGATGCAGCTCGCGACGCTCACGGGCACATGTCAGGGCGGAGTAGTGCGTAGCTTGCTGCCGCACCACGCTGAGCGCGAGAGCATCGGGAGCGCCGCAGCAGCAGCCGCGGTTGCGCCGCGCCGTCTTCGCTAGCGTGCTGCCGAGACAGAGCGTCGCTTTGGCGCCGGCGCGCGTCCACGCCGACACCTCGCACGGCCGGGGGCAGGCGCGAGGTGAAAGAAGGCTCGCGAGCCTAGCAGCATCGCAGCACGCAGTCAGCGACGCACGGCGCACCACGGCACCGGGACAGCGGCGACGGCCGCGAGGATGAAGGCCGCAGGCGCACACGCCCCTCTCGGTGTGTGCCCTCTGCCGCCTCGCCGGTGCGCCCCCTGAGAAGTGTTCCATGCACTGCCCTCCGGAGGCACGCCGCCAGCGCAAGCGCAAGCGCGGCGCTGCGTCTCACAGTCCGGCGGCAGTTGAGTGCTCTTCACCTTGCCGAGGGCCGGGTGCCGCTGCCACACACATCTGCGCTCTGGTGCCTGCAGCGCTCCGAGCATGGGCAGCAGGTGCAGGCCGGCACGGGCAGCACACCTCCTCGCCCCAGGGCTGCGCGCTGGCTCCGTCCCTACTTATAAGCAGCGCTGCTCGCCGCGTCTGCCGCTGCTCTCGCCATCACTCCCTGCTGTGTGCATCCCCCACTCTCCTTTCATTCCCTCCGTCTCTCCTCTGGAAACCTGCTACGATGCGCTTCAGCGTCCTGGCCACGCTCGGCCTCGCCGCCGCTGCGGCTGCCTCGCCGGCGCCGCGCATGGAGCACCGCCGTGCGCCCGCGCCCGAGCCGCTGCTCGGCAACCTCGAGAACAGCGCCAACGTGCTCGGCGCCGCCATGACGAACCTCGCCGGCGCCGCGCTGCGCCTGGCGCAGGTGCCGCTGTCGCAGGCCAAGGCCACGGCCGACAACGTGCGCGCCGCGTTCGGCGGCGACCCCAAGCTGCCGCAGGGCTCCTTCAACCTGCCCAGCATCGACTCGTCCAACGGCGGCTATGTCGGCGGCCTCGTCGGCGGCGTGCTCACGTCCTTCGGCGACGGCCCGACGGTGAAGCTGCAGCAGGGCAGCTACACGGGCCTGCGCTCCAGCCCGCTCTTCCAGCAGGAGTGGTTCTTCGGCGTGCCCTTTGCGCAGGCGCCGCTCGGCAACCTGCGCTTCCGTGCGCCGCAGAAGCTCGCCGCCGGCTCGGCGTCGCACAACGCCACGGCCGTGCCGCCGGCGTGCCCGCAGCCGAACAACTACATCCTGCACTTCAACGACGGCGACCCGGTCAACTACCGCAGCGAGGACTGCCTCAACCTCAACATCTACTCGCCCCTCGGCGCGAGCAACCGCCAGCTCGGCAAGCTGCCCGTGCTCTTCTGGCTCTTCGGCGGCGGCGAGATCGGCGGCAGTGCCAACTCGTACAACTCCACCGCCCTCGTGCTGCAGAGCATCCTGCAGGGCCAGCCGATCATCGTCGTCACGCCGCAGTACCGCGGCAACTCGTTTGGCTTCCTCGCGGGCAAGCGTGTCAGCGCCGGCGAGGGCGGCGCCGTCGTCAACGCCGGCCTGCACGATGTCACCGCGGCGCTCGAGTGGACGCGCGACAACATCGCCGCCTTCGGCGGCGACCCAGACAAGATCACCCTCGGCGGCCACTCGTCCGGCGCGATGAACGTCGGCGCCCAGATGCTCAAGGACGGCCGCGAGGGCGGCAAGCCCATCTACCGCAGCGCCATCATGCTCTCGGGCACCGGCTCGTCGCTGCCCGCGCCGCCGTCGGACAGCGACTTTGCCGAGGAGAACTACCAGCGCATCGCCGGCGCCGCCGGCTGCGGCTCGAGCCCGACGATTGACTGCCTGCGCGGCGTCGACGCCATCAAGCTCGGCGAGCTGGCCTTCTACCCGTCCAACACGCCCGACCCGTCGCTCTACTGGGTGCAGGGCCCCAAGTACTACGCCGGCAACCAGCCGTTCCAGGTGACGCAGGACGGCGTGTACCAGCCGCGCGGCGGCGCCTCGGCGGCCATCCGCGCCGGCAAGTGGCCCGACGTGCCGCTCTTCATCGGCAACGCGCGCGACGAGGGCACCATCTTCGTGTCGCGCGTCATGGACGCCGCCGGCATCCACAACAACGTCAAGACGATCGGCTTCACGGACCCCAACCAGGCCGGCGTCGACGCGCTCGTCGACCGCATCCTCGATGCATACAAGGACGTGCCGCGCGAGGGCGCGCCCTACTGGCCCGGCTACTCGAGCCCCAACTCGCGCCTCGGCGCCGGCAACCAGTACGAGCGCCTCGCCTCGATCCTCGGCGACTTTGCCTTCCAGAGCAAGCGCCGTGCGCTCCTCGACCTCTACACGGGCCGCAACGGCCTGCGCGGCCTCAGCTCGCCCGTCTGGTCGTACCAGTTCAACGAGACGTACGCCGCGCCCGACGTCAACAACCAGGTCGGCGCGACGCACGGCGCGGACCCGCCGTTCTGGTTCGGCGCCTACAACTTCGTGCCGGCGCGCCTCGCCGCCATGTCGGCCGGCACGCAGGCGAGCAAGAGCCTGGCGGCCTTCGTCAGCACGTCGAACCCCAACGCGCTCGGCAACCTCTTCTGGCCGCGCTACACGGCCGCCAGCCCGCGCCAGATGAACTTCCAGGGCCTGTCGAACATCATCGGCGACGACTTCCGCCCGCAGATGAGCATCTTCGCCGAGCCCGACGCGGCGCGGATGGCGCGCGTCTAGGACGCTCGTCGCGTGCCTCGCCCTGCTGCATCTCCCTCTCCCTTCGCCTTCTCTCTCCCCAGGCGCCGCCCTGTCTTTGGGCTCGCTCTTTTCCCCGTCTGCCGTCACTCTTTGGCCCTCTTGTAATACCTGCTCTCGCCGCGCTCGCCAGACGCGCGCCCTCTGCTCGCTGGCGGCCTACTCACACAGCACACACGCGACCACACATACTCAGACACACAGCCACGCCTGGCTGCCCCGTTCCATCACTGGAATCGATTGATGGCACCACACGCTCCTGTCTGGGAAGTTGTGCCTCGCTGCCGGCTACCGCAGGATCTTGCGTCCGGGCAGGTTGCGGCGCAGGATCACACGGCCCGACCCATGCGGCGGCGGCGGAATGGCGCCGCGATGGTGGGCAACGCGCAGCATCCACATGCGGCGCAGGTCGGCGGGCATGTGGACCTCGCGAGCGCGCGCCTGGCGACGCAGCAGCGCACGGTAAGAGAGCACCGTCGGCGGCGGGTACTCGACCTCGGGCGGCTCGGGCAGCGACACGATAGCGGTGCCGTCGTGGTACGGCGGCATGCGCTGCGCTAGGTGCTGCGTCCACTGCCCGCCAAGGCGCGCCACGCAGACATGCATCTGCGGTGAAAGCGGCGGCCAAGCGTTGACAGGCACAAGAAGGCCCCGCTCGTCGTCGGCCAGGCTGGCGTCGTACTCGCGAGGTGGTGCCAGCGCGGCAGCCTCTTCGGCCAGGCTGAACGACGGCGAGACGGAGCGCGGCTCCTGCTTGAGCGAGTCGGGCGGCGCCCAGGGGTGCAGCTGCGACGCGGCCGGCGCCGTACCCTCAGCGAGCGGCGGCGGTAGCGGCAGCGGCAGCGGCGTTGATCGCGCAGCAATCCGGCCCTCGTCGGTGCCGGCGAGCGGCTCAGCGCGCAGACTCGGATCGAGCCAAAGCTCGTGCTGTGGTGCCGGAGGCGCCGGACGCAGGCGCATCGGTACTGCCGAGAGAGCCGAAAGCGCCTCAAAACGGCGCGGCGGCGACGGCGGACGCAGGTGCGGCTGCGGCGCAGCCACGAGAGCCGAAAGAGCCTCGAAGCGGCGCGGCGGCGACGGCGCGCGCAGAGGCGGCTGCGGCACAGACGAGGGGCCCGCACGCATGAAGTCGTCGAAGCTGGCGAGAGCGTGGGTGAGCCGATCAGATGAAGCGCCCGTGTGGCACAAGCACGCACAATGAGTCAAAGGCCAGATCGATGGCGCGTTCGTGCAGCGAGGCAGGGAACGCATGATGCGCAGCGCTCGACGCAGCAGGCGGCGCCTGCGGCCTGGACGAGCCGCGCTGTGCGGGCGGCATCATGGCTGCGAGCTCCAGTGAAGAGCTGAGGAGAAGCGAGAGCCGGCGGCAGAGCGGGCGTGCGCAGAGTTGTCGCCGTGGAGGGTGCGAGGTGCGGCGTGTGCGTGTCCCGCGGCAGCGCGCGATGCGTAGCGTCACGCAGCGCTTCGATGCTCAGCACTGGCAGAAGAGCAGTACAGCCGAGCAGCAGACAGATGCAGAGATGCGGTGCTGCTGTTGGACGGCTGGCGAGGGCGCCGAGAGCGGGCGGTGGAGGTGTGGGGAGAGGGAAGGCGCAGGTGTTGGCGCGCGCGCGTCGCGTCCGAGGCGCACTCAACACGCTGCGCCGCGCATCGGGCCTGCTGACTAAGCACATCGGGCGGCGCCCAGCCAAAATGTTGCCGGCGCTGCGCGGAGCTGCGCCTGTGCTGCGCCTGCTTTCCTTCCACTCCCACACCCTCACCCACCCCGCCGCCAACCCCGCATCCTGCCCGCCATGGCACTGCGCAACGTCATCCATCGCCGCCAGCACAAGGAGCGCGCGCAGCTGGCGCACCGCAAGAAGCTCGGCCTGCTCGAGAAGCACAAGGACTACGTGCTGCGTGCGCGCGACCACGAGAGCAAGAAGCTGCGTCTGCAGCGCCTGCGGCAGAAGGCCGCCACGCGCAACGAGGATGAGTTCTACTTTGCCATGGTCAAGGGCAAGCAGCACGTGAGTGCCCGTGCAAACACTCAGCCGCCGTGCCCGCGCGGGCAGTCTGCAGCGGTGGCGGCGCGCGGAACGTGGGGGAACACTGGCAACGGCGAGGTGCTTGCCCATGCTGACCAGATTGTACGCAGAACGGCGCACATCTGGCACACCGCGAGACGGAGACGGCGCTGCCGGTCGACGTCGTCGCCCTGCTCAAGACACAGGATGCCTCCTACGTGCAGGCGCAGCTGCGTGCCGAGACGAAGCGCATCGCCGAGCTGGAGCAGCGCATCGCATCTATGCTGCCGCATCTGCGTGCCGAATGGCTCGCCGACAAGCCCGAGCGTGCTGCCACGCTGCGTGCGGCCAATCTGCTGCCAGACGTTGTGCGCGAGGAGGGCACCGTTGGCGCGATGGGCAAGAAGACTGTGTGGTGTGAAGGCGGACGCGACGAGGGTGAGTGCAGACGCTGGCCAGCGTATGTCTTGCAGCTGCTCAGACGCGCGTGCCTGCAGTGCGCAAGTACAGAGCACCCGCTGCTTCTCTCGAGGCAGAGGCAGGGCCTTCGAGCGCAGGCAGCTCGAGCTCAAAAAGCAGAGGCAAGGCCGCCGCGGGCCGCTCGTCTCCGAAGGGCAAGAGCAAGGCCTCGGACGACGACTGGTCGGATGCGGACTCGGACTCGGACGCCAGTGCAGAGGCGAGCGGACCGCCAGGCTCGCGAGCGTTTGAGAAGCATGCCTCGTACCAGGTCTCGATGCTCGCTGCTCGGCAAGGGCGGCTAGCGGCGCTGCGCACCGCGGCCCACAAGCTGGAGACCGTGCGCGCACTCATGGCGACGCGCGGAGGCAACGCACGCAAGGTCTCGGCGCGTGAGGCGTCCGCCAAGGACGCAGTGGCGCGCGGCACGGTGACGAAGGGCGGCCTGGAGCTGCCTGCGGGCGAGGACGGCGAGCCGAAGCGGAGCTGGAAGTGGAGCAGCGAGCGGAAGCGGTAGAATCGATCGAGTCATCACGAGCAGTGTGTGCACAGGACGCAGCACGACATGGGGCGCGCGCAGGAAGAGGGGGGGGGGGGCGGTCGGCATGAGTGAGTAGCAGTCTCGGTCTTGAGTTGACACGTGTGGGCGTGGTGTCATGCCAGCTTGGCTTCACGCGCTGAAGCGGTTCAGCAGTCTTTGGAACATCTGGTCGAGACCTCTATTGAAAGCTGTGATCTGGTCGGCGTAGACCATGAAACGGCTGTTGAAGTTGACCTCGCCGGAGCCGCCGCGCACGAGCACCTCGATGTGGATCTGCGCGCTCGTATTGCCGCGCTGGGGCTCGACGTCGTACTGCGGCGCAAGCGCAGTGGCGACGAGCTCGAAGCCGGTGTCCGGGTCCGAGTCCGAGTCCGAGTCGACAGCAACAGCCGCAGTCGGAGGCGCAGGAGCACGCACGCGAGGAGGCCTGTTGCCATGCGGCAGTGTCAGTCACAGCTCAGTGCAGCGCAGCGCAGCGATGCCACACGTACGGCATCTCGACGTTCTCGTTGACTTGATGAAACTGCATGCCAGGCGTGCTGCGCATCGAGCTGACGCAGCTGGCAGCGCGAGCGTGGCCGGCCTCGTAGAGCGTCTCCATCGGCTGCTGCTGTCCGCGACGCGAGACCGACGGCGCACGGCTGACGCTGCGGTGAGCGACACTGCCTGCGCGCGGCGCCAGGAGGCTGCGAATGGCCGACGGCGCGCGAGAAGGTGCGCGAGAAGGCGCGCGAGAAGGCATGCGAGAGGGCGCACGGGAGGAGAGCGTCTTGGTCAGGCTCGCGCCGACCGAGGCTGAGCGCGCTCGTCCCGCCGGCGTCGCCGACTTGCGGAAGGGCATCGGCGTGGACACTGCAGCGACGTCGTCAGTCGCAGCTCGGCTCGGCTTGCTTCACGGTCTCACTCACTGCGAGACATGCTGCTGCGCGGCCGGGCAGGGATGTCGACGGTGCCGGCGCGCGTGCGGAGCGGTCCGATGCTGCTTGCGCGGCTGGAGCTCGACGGGCGCACGCTCATGGAGCGCTGGAAGATGGGCGCAGGCGTGGCGGAGGCGCCGCGCGGCAGTCGAGGAGCTGCATCGGGGTCGGGCTTGATGTAGGGCGCCGGCGCCGGCGTGGCCGACGGCACGCGGAAGGCGCGCGAGAGCGAGCCGTCGGGCGCGGGAGTCTGAGAGTTGCGCGACGTCATGATGCGAGTCGCTGTGCTAGGGCTCGTTGTGCGCGAAGAGCTTTGCGATGCGAGGAGCTCGATGTGCGGCCTGAAGAGTCGAGCGGAGGTGAGCGGGCAAGAAGAGATGAGGGAGGGAGCGGTGCCGCCTTAAGAGCGCGTCGCGCCCCGAGGACGCGTAGAGTGCGCACATGGGAACCGGGACGCTCTGCTGCTCCCCGCCTGCACCGGCCAGTCCGTCTCCTCCGCTATCGCCAGCAGCGCAGCCTCACTCCTGAGGCAGCAGGCATGAAGCGCACGCGGCAGTGGGGTCAGTCTGACGCGCGGTGCGCGCGCGGCGGCCCGCCGCGCGCTCCGACGGCTGCTCAGGAGCCGTTCCGATGGACGCGCTCGCGCCTCGCTCCTCGTGTCAGACAGGCGCTGCAGCCTCGCCGAGGTTGAACGTCTATGATTGCATGATGCGACTGGAGGCCATCAGTTCGTGAGACGGCCCACCACGACGGAGCACGAGCTCCGATAGGCGCTAAGATCTCTGGCGCCGTGCCATGGCGGCGGGAGCGAGCATCCATCCTCTCTTCAGAGTGCCGCCCGAGACCGATTGCCATCGCTTTGCCTTCGCAGCGGCGCAGTCCGATCGCAGCGTCCGTGGATGCTGAGCACCTCTAACCTTCGCGCCCAGCGCGGGCTAGTCCTTTTCATTTCCAGTCGTCGTCGTCATCCGCGGTTCTCGCGCCGATGTCACCCTCGCCTTCCAACTCTGCCGCGTCCTTGCGGTCACGCGACGGCCCGCCCTGTGGCGACGCTTGTGAGATGACGACGTCTGGCACGCGGACGTTCTGCGTTGGCAGCGATGCGGGCTCCGCTGCGCCTGCGCTGCTGCTGCCGCCAGGAGCGGAAGAGCCGGAGTCCTGCTTGCCGCTCGGCGCGCGCGAGTCGAGCGCCTTGAGCGCCATGGCACGGCGCCGTTCTGCCTCGGCACGCGCTCCGGCGCCGTTGCTGGCCGAGCTGGCGCCCGAGTTGGAGCGCCCGAGCTCGCGCCCGACGCCGAGCTCCACGTCGCCCAGCGCCGAGTACTCGTACGGGTGGATCACGCCCAGGCGCACCCAGATCGGGTACAGGAAGTTGGACAGCATGCCCACGGGCTTGCTGCAGGAGGCAGGGCGGCGTCAGACAGCGAGCAGGCTAGCTACGCTCCTCGCAGACGTACTGCATGAAGGGCGGGAACCACTGCACGAGGCTGAAGGTCTCGCTGCGGTCGCCGCGCGTGCCGTTGTCGTTGACCTTGAAGAAGCGCAGGTAGCCCCAAGAAATGAGCCAGCCAAACTTGGGGGCGCGGGGTGTCAGCCACTCTGCCCGTGAGAGCCGCGCAGATCGGCAGTGCGCGCTAGGCTCACTTGAATGAGAATCCAGGGCGACATGACGCCGAGGAGGCACATGACGTTCGACACCGTGACATAAGCCATCGGCAAGTCCTGTGCGCGAACAGCAAGTCAGCAAAGCGGAGCGCTGAGGCGATGGCATGCTTCGCAAGCTCTGGGACTGCTCGCGCCAGGTGCAGACGCGGCGGCACTCACGCGAACTCGGATCTTGACGCGCCCGGCGAAGAGCTGCACGCGGTGCTCTGGAATGATCTGCGCAAGGGCCACGAGGAAGGCAGTCTGCACCGCCTGCATGCCGTGGTACTGCGTCTGGAACCTGCGATGCGGCTTCTTCAGCTGAGCACCGTCAGCGCGGTCCCTCGTGGGCCACTCACATGCCAGACTCGATGCGCAGCACCGCGTACGCCACGACAGCCAGGAACCATGCCACCACGTTGCTCAGCACACCGACGATCAAGACGAACTTGATGAGCTCGGCTGCGCCCCAGAGCCGCTCGAAGTAGCGGCCCGCCAGCGGCAGGGCGACGATGGAGATGGCAAACTCCCAGATCGACGTCTCGACGAACATCGCTGTCACGAGCGTCCTGCGAAGCACAGACTGAGGTCAGCGGCAGCAGCGAGAAGAGGACCAAGAGCGTCACGCGGTACAGAGCCAGATGACCGCCGCTCTCGGCCTTCTACTCCGAGCAGAAGCGTGCGGGAGGGGTGCCTGCACGTCGCTGGATCGCACGTGCAGCAAGCAAAGGCCCGCAGAGGGGTGCCTGCACGTCGCTGGATCGCACGTGCAGCAAGCAAAGGCCCGCAAGTCTCCGCTGTCGCGAGTGCAGCACGACGACAACGAAGTCATTGGCTGCTTCGGGCTTGCAGAGCGTGCGATGGCGCTACAGGTGCGACTGTTGCGTGTCCCTGCAGAGCCTCACCATCGGCAACACGCTCGACGACACAGCTCGCAGCCTGCTTCCGCGCATGCCGGCCCGAGCCGGCGAGCCTGGCGTTCTCTTAAGCGCCTCAGCCGCTACACTACTAGACGCTGGATGCGGAATGCGCGCGCGCTCATGGACACCCGGGACGTCGGATGCCCGGCATCCTGACTTCCAGGCTGCATCGATGCTGCTGCCTCTGTCGCCCGAGCATCCGCAACACGTCCGCCATGCGCGCGGCAACGCAGCAGCAGCCTGCAAGGACGCCCATGCGCAGCCGTATGACCTCTTCAGTCGTTGCCGACTGTGCTCTCTACGCAAGCGCTCGCCTGGAACTTCTTCGAGGCAGCATGGCTGCGTGCCTCTCCACCCGCACCTCCCTGCCTGCTCGTGCGCTCGCGCCCTGCTCCGGCACTGACCATGGGCTGACGAAGCTGGTGCCGGGCACGATGACGAGGGCGTAGAAGAGCGGCATGCGCGGGCCGTGGAACTCGGGCGGCGCGGCAAACTGCGAGAGGAGCAGCGCGAGCAGCGAGCCGGCGACGAGGAGCGCACAGAGCACGCGCGTGCCGATGGGCAGCGAGAGCACGATGGCGGCGGGCGAGAGGACCGCCATGGTGGGAGAGCGGGGCGCCGTGCGGCGGGCCGGTGTGCGGGTGAGAGGGAGGAGGTGGTGGTGCGGACCGAGCTGTTGGATGCGCGCGGCACGCGAGGGGCTGTGTGTGCGCACAGACGGCAAGGCAAGGCAAGGCGCACCGTCGGCCGGCCCGCCGCGCAGGCGCGGGCAGCACCAAGCAGCGAAACTTGAAACACGTCGCGGTCCACCGCGTCGCTTCCTTCCAGCGCCAGCCTTTCGCGACGGTTCGGCATGCGAATCTCGTCGGCGGCACATACACCGCACAAGCTTGCCGTTCTGTCCTTGGTCTGCAGCGTCGTCAACCCAGCAACGCTAGCCGTCTGCGGCGATGGGTGCAGCACTAGGTCACAGCGCGCTTGCTCGCCGTCGCTCGCAGGCGTAAGCGTGGCCGGCCCGCCGTGCAGCGCGCGCGAGCGCAAGTTCGCCAAACGCGGCGCGTCAAATACCGCCGTCGCTCTCGCGAGCCGGCCGCCTGCCACCGCCCGAGCCAGGCGCTGCGCGAGCCCTCGCTGAGCCGCCTCGTCGCCGCTCCTCCGTCCCCACTCTGACTCTCCTTGCCTTCAGCTTCGTCCCACTGTCCACAGCCGTCGCGGCTGCTCTTCCTTCTCGCCTCTTCTCCCCTCTCCGGTTACGCACCCGCACAGCGGTATCGCTCTTCGTCGCGCTGCTCTGCCGTCTCGCGCCCTTCTCGGCGAACACTCTGCTGCCTGGCTGCGCTCCTCCGTCGGCATCCGCTCGGCGCCGAAAGTGCTTTCTCGAGCGCGTCACCGTCTCGCGTCTGTGCAAAGCGCATCGACGTCACTGCACACTGCCGCTGCGACTGCGAGACCGGCACGGCCGGCTAGTCTGCTCGCAGCGCTCGCGCCATGCCGCCTCTCGCGACCGCAGCGCAGGTCAACCTGCTCGTGTACCACTACCTCAAGGAGTCAGGTGCGTATCGTCTCCCTCTCGTGCTTTCGACGGCCGCTTCGCCGGTCTGCTGCAGGATCTCGACTGCCCAAGGAGATGTAGAGAGGATGCGCGCTGGCCCTTTGGGCTGACTGCTGGCTGGATTTCTCGCCGGCAATGCCGTGGGTCGCCTTCGGGCGATCTCATCCCGCCCTGAGGTTTCACAGCTCGTCCTGTTGCGGATGCCGACTGGACTTGCGCAGGCTCTCGAAGATTTGTCCACTTCTTCAGCGATCACTCAGCTGACGCGCTGCGTCTATCTATCAGGCTTCGCACACGCGTCCTTCTCCTTGCGACACGAAGCACGGCTTGACGAAGCGCCTCACGCGAACGAGGCTGTCGTCGCACCTGGCGCGTTGGTGCGCTTCCTGCAGAAGGGTCTGCTCTATTGCGCAGTGGAGGCACATGTCAGCGAGGTGAGTCGATTGCGCTGTCGAGCATCGCAGGCCTTATGACGCTCTGGGAGCCGCGCGCATGTGCGCGACATCACGCGGCCTGTCTGTCGGAGCCAATGGCAATGTCCATCCCCTATCCGCGACTGACCACTGGCCCCCTCGCAGGACGGCACCGAGTCGCCATGCAGTGCTCCCTTCCAGCTGGTCGGGCCGCCGCACGTCTGCGACGGACGGCCACGGCCTGCAGTGGCGCCGGGCCCGACTCGTCTGACCCCGTCGCCGCCGCCGGAGCCGCAGCCTATGCGGCGAGAAAACTCCGCGCAGACTGCGCTGCCGCCGCACACCGCAGTCGCGTCTGGCTCTAGCAAGCGCAAGGCCGGCACGCCCACAGCAGCCGCAGGCGCGAAGCGTGCGCGGAAGCAGAATGGGCATGGCGATGAGAAGGAGGAGGAAGAGGAGGAGGCGGAGCAGGAGGACGAGGCAGAGGCGAGTGCTCCGGGCGTGCGGAGGAACGGCAAGGTGGCGACACCGAGCAAGGTCAAGGCGTCGACGCCCGCGCCGTCGGGCACGCCAGCTGCCGGCAGCAGCCGAGATGCCGATGTCGTCAACAGCAAGAAGAAGAAGAAGAAAGGTCCGCAGGGCAAGGATGCCAAAGACGGCGGCAAGTCGGGCGGCAAGGGCGCTGCCGCCGTGCGCGTTCCATCGTTGAGCACCAAGGCGAAGGGCTGCGAGGTGCCGGACTCAAGCGTGCGACGACTGGTAGGCCACAATGGCGAGGTCTTCGTCTCGTCGTGGAACCCGTCTGTGCCCGGTCTCCTGGCCTCCGGCGCCGCGGACGCCACAGTGCGGATCTGGGATTTGAGCGATGATGCAGACGATGGCGGCGCGCCGACAGTGTGCAAGCACCTGCCGGCCACGCATGCCAAGGACGTCAGCGCCCTCGACTGGAACCCGGACGGCACGCTGCTCGCATCTGGCTCGTACGACGGCATCCTGCGCCTGTGGACGCCGCAAGGAGACCTCCACCTCGTCATGAGCATGCACCAGGGCCCGATCTTCGCCGTGCGCTGGAACCGGAAGGGCAATCTTCTGCTGACCGGCTCTGCGGACGGCACGGCGATCGTTTGGGACCTGAACAGTGGCAAGGTGCGGCAGCAGTTCTCGACGCACTCGGACTCGGTGCTCGACATCGACTGGCTCTGCGGCTCCCGATGGGCAACGGCGCACCCTGGTTCCTCACCCTCGGCAGCGGCCGACGGAACGCTGGCCACGTGCAGTGCCGACAACAGCGTCAATCTGCTGCGGATAGGCGAGTCGCGGCCGGTGCGGACGCTGCGCGGGCACAGCGACGAGGTCAATGCGATCCGCTTCAACGCCTCGGGCTCGCTGCTGGCGTCGGCCTCCGACGACATGACGTGCCGCATCTGGGACATGGACGTGATACTCGGCGCTGACTTTGCCGCGCCCTCTGTGGCCTTCCCGGCGTCCACGCACGCGCCGCAGCCTGACCAAGCCGCGAGCAAGGCGGTGCTGCGAGGGCATACGAAGGAGCTCTATGCTGTCGCGTGGGCGCCGCCGGGCTCGCAGGCGGACAGTGCTCGGCTCGTCGCTACGTCCAGCTTCGACCGGACCGCTCGCCTGTGGAACGCAGACGACGGCAGCTGCATCCGCACCTTCGCCGAGCACACCGACTCTGTCTACGCGATCTGCTTCTCGCCCGACGCGCGGTATATGGCCACCGGCGGCATCGACCAGCGGGTCTATGTCACGCGAGTGGATGTGAGTTTGCGCAATACTGATGGACCTGCCATGCCGCTCACCCACCTCTCTGCGCAGGATGGCACGATCGTCAAGGCGTACGCCGGCGGAGGTGGTGTGATGGACCTGTCCTGGCACCTCGAGCGCTCCGGCTCTGCGCTCAAGCGCAGCGCCAGCGATGGCGAGACGCACGTCAACGGTCGCAGCTCGAGCTCCCGCGCCGACGCAATGGACGAAGACGGCGCTCCTGCCACTGCTAGCGGAGCAGCAAATGCATCGCCGAACGCCGACGCGAGCAAGAAGAGCGCGCCGACACAACGACTGGCGGTCGCGCAGAGCGACCGCGCGCTGGTGGTGCTCGACCTCTCCGAGCTGGACTGAATGCCTGCCCGGGCCACCTGGCCGGTGCGTCTGGCACTGGCCGCAACCATGCGCGCGGCACCACCTCGACACTCTCTGGATCGCACGCACGAGTCCTTGCACTTTCTCCGCCTTCGCCACGCCTTGGTCCTGCTGCTTCCGCAGCACTGCTCTGCACTCGCACTGCGGAGGCAGCATCACCACTGACGTCGCTCGGACCCGTGCTCGGCGCGCCTTTGCTTTCTCATACCTTTCTCCAACCTGTACTAGTCTCTCTGCCTCTGACGCGTCCGGCCATTCCCGCAAGGCCGCTCTGCCGCTGTCTCCCTATGTACCCTACTCGCGCGGACACCGAGAGCAGTGGCTGAGCAACCCTCGCCTCCGTCCCGCGCCGTCTCCTCGCAACTACTGCCAGTGCAATGCAATGCGCGCGCCCCGCGTCACCTGCGCAACTACAATCACGTCTGAGACCGCAAAGAGGCATCGCAGATAGTTGGCAAATAAGAGGTGTCCGCGTGTGCCCGTCAGTCGTCGTCGTCGTGTGCGTGATACGCCGAGCGGCGGTAGGCACTGGGCGAAGAGGTGTCAGCGCACTGCGCACGCCCGCGGACACACGATACTCACGCCAGTGTCCTCCGCGCCAGCGTGAGCTCCTTCTCGAGCTTGAGCACCTCGACCTGCTGCTCCATCTCCTTGACGCGGAACTCGTTAAGCGGCAGATGAGAGTAGTCGCTCGGCTCGTCGGCGCCCGGCTTCTCGGTGATGGCCTTGACCTGGCGCACGAGCGCCTTGCACGCGTCGGTGACGGCCTTTGCAGCGCGCTCGAGGCGGTCCTGCGTGCGGCTCATGTACTCGGCCTTGACGCGCGACGCCGCCACGAGCTGCACCGTCGCCGCGCTGACCTCGTTGGAGGCCACGATGAGCTGCTCGAGCGAGTGCGAGCCGAGGATCACGCCGTCGGCCGCCTCGATGAGCATCGTCGTGGCGAACGCCACAGCGCGCGCCGCGGAGATGAGGCCCTCCGTCCAGCGGTTGTTGCGCTTGTAGAACTGCTGGCTCGAGCTGCTGCCCTTGCCCTGCGCCACGATCTCCTGCTGGCTCTCGGTTGCAGCCTGCATGAGGCCGCCGATGGCGCGCGTGATGGCCAGGGCGGCCTCGAGAATGGCATCGTGCACCTGCAGGTCGATGGCCGAGTGCCGACCGGTGTCACGGGGGCGCGACAGAAGCGCCTGCAGCTTCTTCGTGGCTGCCTCGATGGCAGCCGCAGCGCCCATCATCTCGCGCTCCACGAGGTCGCCGATGTCGCCATTGGCCTTGGCCAGCGAGTCGCCGCTCTTGACCATGCCCTCAACGACGTCGTTGAGCTGGCGGAACGCGTTGGCCGCCTCCATGCCCTGCTGTGCGACGACGTTGCGGCGCTGTGCAGGCGCCACGCCTGCGAGACGGAACGACTGCAGGCTGACGAATTGGCGCAGCAGCACGTCTCCCGAGGCGCGGCCAGTGCCCACGAGCTTCTCAGCCGCAGCATCGGACTGCGCCAGGCGCGTGATGCCCTTCGTGGACACGAGCACGTCGTGGATCGTCTGCGCCAGCGCGTTGGCGCGCTTGATCACCTCGACGTGCTCGCCGCCGGCTTCGCCCGAGAGGTAGAGTGAGTAGACGGCGCCGAACTCGCTTGACGCGCCAGTGCCCTTCTCGATGAGGGAGAGCACGTACTCGGGCGTGGCGGTTGCGTTGCCCGACGCCGAGGGCGACTCGAGCTCGTAGATGGCATCGTCGACCTTCTCCACGCAGGCCTGTAGGAGCTGTCAGCACGTTGCGGCGTTCAGCGAGCTGCGCGCGCCTCACCTGCAGGATCGAGTCGATGATCGCGTTGAGCTTCTTCGAGTTGTCGAGGATAAGCGTGTCGATCTGCGCGTTGACGGCCTCGTCCTGGGCGCCCTGGCCGAGCTGCATCTCGCTCATCTGCTTGATCGTGGCGTCCATGCCCTCCTGCATGATCGCCAGCTCGGCAGCCTGCTCGTCGCGCAGACGCGCCAGCTCGGCGTCCTTCTCGTCGAGGCGCCGCAGCAGGTCGTCGGAGCCGTTGCGCTTCTCCCGCAGCGCATCCTCCAGTTCGGCGATCTGACGATTGAGCGTCGCCATGATGCCCGACATCTCCGAGCTCTTGCTGCGCGTCGCGTCCTCGGCGCGCTCGTTGGCGAACATGAGATCGCGCTTGAGCCGGTCGAACTCCTCCTTCTGGCTCGCCTTGATGCGGTCCAGGTCGAAGCGCGCGCGGTCGCGCTCGCGGATCATGTCCGCCAGCTCGAGGTTCTTCGCCTTGACGTCGCGCTCCATGCGCTCCATCTTGTCAATCGCCTCCTGCGCCGAGCCAGCCTTGATCTGCATCTGCTTGTACTTGGCGAGCATGTCGAGGTGCTCGGTGCGCAGCTGGCTGTACAGCTTGGCCAGCGCCTCGTACTTGTTGCGCCACAGCGTCACCTGGTCCTGCAGCTGCTTGAGCATCTCGTCCTTGCTCATCAGCTGCGCGTTGACGTTCTGCCCGATCGTCGCCAGCTCGTTCTCGAGCGCCTTGACGCGCCGGTCGTACTGCTCAAGCATGAGCTGGTCGCGCTCGTACTGCCCGCGCATGGCCAGCATCTCGCGCTCGAGCTCCGCCGCGCGGCCGCCGGCCATCTGGTCCATCTGCGCGCGCATCAGCGCCTCCTGTGCCGCGCGCTCGCGCTCGGCCTGCAGCCGCTGCTGCTCCTCAAAGTCGCGCTGGCTCTTGGCGGCGGCGTCGGCCAGGCGCTGCTTCTCCGCCTCCTCCGACTCGCGCAGTGCCCGCTGCCGGTCCTCGTACTCCTTCAGCATGCGCGCCTGCTCGTCGATCTCGGACTGCGAGGGCCCGCTGGGCGGCGGCGTGGCTGCCTTGGGTGTCCGAGAGGGCAGCGCAGGGCCGTCGGGCGAGTCAAAGAGGTTCGGCGGGTCCTGCATAGGCCAAGCAGTCAGCACAAGCCGCTCGCAAGTCCCGCACCTGCAGCCTCACGTGATTGAGCTTTGGCACGTTGATGAGGCTGGTGAGGAACTTGAGATTGGCGCACTCGTAGTAGAATTTACGCAGCGAGTAGTGCTGCGTGTTGTAGCGGCCACGCAGCGGCTCGAGCGCGTCCATGGCGTCGGTGCGGCGGTGCATGGCGCGCAGCATCGACGTGAGGAACTTGTAGATGCCGTACGACTCCTTGACGAGCGGCACGAGCGACGAGATGCGGCACTCGTTGTTGGCGCTGTTGCGGAAGTGCGCAAAGACGAGCTTCTGGAATTGCTCGATCTGGTCCTGCAGGTTCATCAGGTCCATGATCGTCTCGTAGCTGCGCGAAGCGTCAGTGCGGGGCTGTGGCCTGCGCTTGTTCGGCCTGGCGCAGCTCACCCTTCATCGGGGTTGTCGATGTTCTTCAGCGAGATGTACTCCTCGTACTCGAACAGGCCGTTGAACTCCTTGTGGTGGCGGTGGAAGCGCAGCTTGGCGAGGATGAAGGAGACGTACGCGCGGATGAGGGGGGCATAGCCTGCGCGGCACGCATGAGCCCATCGATCGCACAGCCCACTGCATTCGCCACTCACCGCGCATGCTGTCGTTGCCCACCGTGCGCGCACACGTCTCGAACCAGCCCATCTGCGCCTGTGCCTCGCGCAGCACAATGGCATGGCCCTCCTGCAGCACCTTGTGCACGAGGATGAGCGCCTTGAACGTCTGCACCTCGTCGGACAGGATCGGCTGCACGCGCAGGCCCGTCCAGATCGACTGCGACGTGTGGTAGTCCCACGTGTAGACGATGCATTCTGTGTGGCAGCGGTCAGCCTGGCCAGCGCTGCGGAGTGCCGCGCCGGGCACGCACTTCGCACGTGCTTCTGCTTCGGCGCCGTCTCGTCGGTCGAGGTGGCCTTCTTGATGTTGAGGTTCAGCTCCGTCTCGTTCTTCTCGCGGTCGACGGGCCGCGTGGGCAGGTGGTCCTCGAAGCGCGGCCTGCGGCGCTGTCAGTCTGGTGTGCGCGCTGTGCGGCGAGCGGATGCGGCCTCACATGGCGGGTGCCCGTGCGCCGAGGCCGGCCGGCGTGGGGCGGGGGTCGGAGGGCTTGCCGCGTCCAGGAGACGGCGCAGATGAGGTGTGGTTGCAGGCAGGTGCAGGCAGGCGGATGCGGAGCGAGTGCGAGTGCGGTCGCCGGCGGTGTGGGTGGAGGGAGAACAAGAAGGTCGGCCCTGCGGGGTGGATGGATGGATGCTGTCCGAGCGCAGCGCTGCTGGTGCCGTGCCTGATGGTGCTCGTGCTGGCAGCGAGGCCCTGCCAGCCACACCGCCGCCGCCGTGCCGTGCCGCCGAGCCGCCGCCGATCGCCGCTGGCCGCGCGCGCACAGGCGCACCGCCTCAGCACGGACCGTGGGAACCACTCCTAGCCGCACGTGACGGGCGTGCGCGGACCCGCTGCGTCCTGAGCAGCCGCTTCTTCGCGTCCGCCTCGCAGCCTCTGACCACGACGACGACGACACCGCCGCCCACGCCCCATCCCGCAGCTCACCCCCGCGGCCCCCTCTGCATCAGCGCGCTGAGCCTGCATCCGCCCTGCCTGCTCCTCCGCCCGACGTGCACGCCAGCGCGGGCCGCGCCGCTCTGCCACGATGCATCTCTACAACCTCGCCCTCGTGGCGCCGAGCAACATCACCGCCGCATGCGTGGGCCAGTTCAGCGGCACGCGCACGCAGGAGATTGCCGTGTGCCGCGCCGGTGCGCGCATCGAGCTGCTGCGCCCCGATACGACGGCGGGCCGTGCCGCCAGCATCTGCGAGCAGCAGGCCTTCGGCACCGTGCGCAGCATGGCCAACTTCCGCCTCACGGGCGGCAGCAAGGGTGAGTGATGCGCTGTAAGCGAGAGCGGGCGGCGCAGGATGCGGCCTGGTCGCGCATGACAGACGACGATGGCGCAGCGAAGAGCCGTGCCCTCTCGACCCTGCGCCGAGGCCTCCCGGCGCGCCACGAGCACCGGCCTGGCCCCGCAGTCCTCTTGTTGCTCACCCACGTCCTCCGCCGCAGACTACCTGATCCTGGGCAGCGACAGCGGACGCATCGTGATCCTTGAGTTCGACACGAAGCTGCTGCAGTTCACCGTCGTGCACAGCGAGACCTTCGGACGCTCCGGCTCGCGCCGCATTGTGCCGGGGCAGTACCTGGCCGTCGACCCCAAGGGCCGTGCCGTGCTGATCGGCGCCATCGAGAAGGCCAAGCTCGTCTATATCCTCAACCGCGACGCGGCCGCCAACCTCACCATCTCCAGCCCGCTCGAGGCACATCGGCCAAACGCCATCATCCACGCCATCACGGGCGTGGACGTGGGCTATGAGAATCCGGTGTTTGCGGCGCTGGAGGTGGGCTACGAAGAGAGCGACCGGGATCCTACCGGTGCGGCCTTCGATGCCGCAGAGAAGGTACGTCTGCGGTGAAGCATGTGCCGCGTCAGCCTGGCTCACTTCTTGCCCTACGCAGCTGCTCACCTACTACGAGCTCGATCTCGGCCTGAACCACGTCGTGCGGAGATGGACGTCGCCCGTCGACCCGCGCTCCTCGCACCTCATCCCAGTGCCTGGCGGCTACAACCAGACGTCGGAGCGGTGGGAGGGCCCGAGCGGCGTGCTCGTTTGCGCCGAGGACTACATCACCTACAAGCACTCGGTGGGCGAGGAGCACCGCATCCCGATCCCGCGGCGGCATAACCCGGTGGAGAATGACGCAGAGCGGCGGGGCACCATCATCACGGGCAGCGTGTGCCATCGCATGAAGGTGAGTCAGCAGTGAAGAGCTAGAGACGCCAGAATGCTCGAGCTGCAGGGCTACTGGGCTCGGAGAGGGCAGATGCGCCTTGGGGAATGGCTTCGAGCGCGCAATGGGCGTCGGCTGACGCGCGCTCTAATGCTCCGCAGTCCGGCTTCTTCTTTCTGGTGCAGAACGAGGACGGCGACCTGTTCAAGATCACGATTGAGCACGACGGCGAGGACATGCGCAGCCTCAAGATCAAGTACTTCGACACTGTGCCCATCGCATCTTCGCTCTGCATCCTGCGCGCAGGTCTGCTCTTCGTGGCATCCGAGAGCGGCCCGTCTTTCATCTACTCGTTCCAGAAGCTCGGTGACGACGACGATCTGCCAGAGTACAGCAGCACCCACTATCCAGACTTCGGCGTTGGGGATCGGGCGCCGGAGGTGCCGACCTTCACGCCGCGGCCACTCGAGAACCTGGTGCAGACTGACGAGCTGCCGGCATTGGATCCAATTCTGGACGCCAAGGTGCTCAACCCGCTCGGTACGGACTCGCCGCAGATCTTCACTGCCTGCGGGCGGGGCCCGCGCAGCAGCTTCAAGATGCTGCAGCACGGCCTCGAGGTGCAGGAGGCCATCAGCAGTGACCTGCCGGGCGTGCCGAACGCCGTGTGGACGACGAAGCTGCAGTCCGACGACCAGTACGACGCGTACATCATCCTTTCCTTCGTCAACGGCACGCTGGTCCTCTCCATCGGCGAGACGATCGAGGAGGTGGGGGACAGTGGCTTCCTCACTTCGGCGCCGACGCTCGCGGTGCAGCAGCTGGGTGCCGATGCTCTGCTGCAGGTGCACCCGCACGGCATCCGGCACGTCATGGCGGACAAGCGGGTGACCGAGTGGACCACGCCTGCTGCGCAGGACGGCTCGCCGACGCAGATTGTCGCCGCTGCGACGAACTCGCGGCAAGTTGTGCTCGCGCTGGCGCCGACCAACGAGCTCGTGTACTTCGAGCTCGACATGGACGGCCAGCTCAACGAGTATCAGGAGCGCAAGAGCATGGGCTCGCGCGTGCTGACGCTCAGCATCGCCGACGTGCCCGAGGGCCGCCAGCGCACGCCGTACCTCGCCGTGGGCTGCGAGGACCAGACCGTCCGCATCATCTCGCTCGACCCGGACAGCACGCTCGCCTCGATTTCCATCCAGGCGCTCACTGCGCCGGCGAACAGCATCTGCATCGCCGAGATGGAGGACACCGTCATCGACCGCAACCACGCCACGCTCTTCGTCAACATCGGCCTGACGAACGGCGTGCTCCTGCGCACCGTTCTCGATCCCATCTCCGGTCAATTGACCGACACGCGCACGCGCTTCCTCGGCGCCAAGCCGGTGCGCCTCGTGCGCGTGCGCCTGCAGGGCACGCAGACGGCCGTCCTTGCGCTGAGCTCGCGGCCGTGGCTCTCGTACACGCACCAGTCGCGCACGCACTTCACGCCGCTCATCTTCGAGGCGCTCGACCACGCATGGACGTTCAGCGCCGAAATGTGCCCGCAGGGTCTCATTGGCATTGTGGGCGGCAGCCTCCGGTGAGTGCCCATGAGGACCGAGTGACCGGACGCAACGCTGAACTTGCCATCTCGCAGCATCTTCACGATCCCGACTCTGGGCACGAAGCTCAAGTCCGACTCCATCTCGCTCTCGTACACGCCGCGCCGCTTCGTCAACCACCCGGAACGGAGTAATCTCTTCTACATCGCCGAGTCCGACCACCGCACCCTATCGCCATGGGCACAGCAGCAGCGCCTCGGCCAGCTCGGGCGGGAACTGAAGCCTTCGCAGCGCGGTGTTCTCGACCTGCCTGCCTCCGAGTTCGGCCCGGTCCGCGCCGAGGCAGGGCAGTGGAGCAGCTGCCTGCGTGTTGTCGACGTCAAGGACATGTCGACGGCATTCCGGCTCGAGCTGGACAACAACGAAGCAGCCTTCTGTGTTGCGCTCGTGCCGTTTGCCAGTGGCGGAGCCGCTAACGGCGCCGGCCACGGCGCCGAGCCTTACCTCGTCGTTGGCAGCGCCGTCGAGGCGCACGTCTCGCCGCGCGCTGTCCGCCAGGCCTACCTGAGCGTCTACAAGCTCACAGACGAAGGGCGGGGACTCGAGCTGCTGCAGAAGACGGAGGTTGATGAGCTGCCGACTGTCCTGCGGCCGTTCCAGGGGCGGCTGCTTGCGGGAGTGGGCAAGGCCCTGCGCATCTATGAGCTTGGCAAGAAGAAGCTTCTGCGCAAGTGCGAGAACAAAGTGAGTCGCGTGAGCCTGTACGCGCATGCCTTTGCGCTGACGAGCGTGTGCGCAGAACTTCCCCACCGCCATCGTGTCGCTGCAGACGCAGGGCACGCGCATCATCGTCGGCGACCAGGCCGAGTCGCTCATCTACGTGACGTACAAGGCTGCCGCGAACCGGCTGATCATCTTCGCCGACGACGTCGTCGCACGCTGGACGACTGCGACGGCGATGCTCGACTACGACACCGTGGCGTCGGGCGACAAGTTCGGCAATGTCTTCGTGTCGCGGCTAGACAGCGCCGTCAGCACGGCCGTCGACGAGGACTCGTCGGGCCTCAGCATCCTGCACGAGAAGCCCTTCCTGCAGGGCGCGCCGCACAAGACGGACCTCGTGGCGCACTTCCACATCGGCGACATCGTCACGAGCATGACGCGGACAAGCCTCGTGCCGGGCGGCCGCGAGGTGCTGCTCTACACGGGCCTCAACGGCACCGTCGGCGCGCTCGTGCCATTCGTGGCCAAGGAGGACGTCGAGACGCTGAGCACGCTCGAGATGCACATGCGGCAGGAAGCGACGTCGAGCATCGTGGGCCGCGACCACCTGGCCTTCCGCGGCTACTATGCGCCGGTGAAGGCCGTCGTCGACGGCGACCTGTGCGAGACGTTCGGCCAGCTGCCCGTCACCAAGCAGCGCGCCATCGGCGAGGAGCTCGACCGCACGCCGGCGGAGGTGAACAAAAAGCTCGAGCAGCTGCGCACCACATCTGCCTTCTGAGCCGCGCAGCTCACTCTGTACTTGTACTTTATCAATGCATTCTGCCTCACGCATCATCTCTCAGTGGCTCGCGCCCTTGCCTGCGTTGCCCTCGGGCACGCGCGCTTTCCAGTGCGCTGCCGCGGCGCGAGCGTCCGACAGAGCTCGCTCTCGCACCTCGGCCTGCAGCGTCGTGGCCCACGCCTCGCTGTCTGGGCCCGGCTCAGCCTCGCGACCCCATGGACGCTCCCAGACGCGCCGCCGACCGAGCATCGCCCAATTGCGCGTGCTCGGGATGCGCAGCGCCTCCTTCTCGAGATGCCAGCCGGCCAGCAGGTGCAGGCGCGACACGTACGCAAGGTACGCGACATTGCGCGAGCGCGAGGCAGTTGCCGGGCTGTCTGCGCTGGGCGAGAATGGACCGCGCTCGAGCTCCGTCTGCGTGGCCGCAAGCAGTTGCGCTGCGGCCTCCGAGTCGTCGCCGTCCAGGCCGAGAGCCTGGCGCAGCTGCTCGTCCGTCATCAGCTTGAGGCGTGCGTCTGTGAAGCGGTCGCCGCCGAGCTTCCAGAAGCAGCACGGCATGTTGACGAACGCAGAGCGTGGCGTTGCAGCTGCCAGCAGCGGCAGCCACGGCGTCAGCTCGTCGGCGTGGTTGCCGATGAGGAACGAGCCCTCGGGTGGTGTGGCTTCGCGAACTGCGGCTGTCTCCTGCCCGCCGCTCAGCAAGCAGATGACTAGCTCAGCGACGTCGATGGACACGGTGCGCAGGTCTGCACCTCCAGGAGCAGCGCGGTAGCCCTCCCAGGACTTGCGCTCTCGCAGATCCATGCCGTAGCCAACATAGCCCTGCGCGAGAAGACGTCAGCTTGGGCAAAGCACCGCGGCGCAAGCGACTCGCCTCTGCGTTGAGGATGTGCACCAGCAGCCCGTTGCCGCAGCCGAGATCGACGAAGCCGCCCTCAGGCCTGCCCCACGTGCTCCATGGCCGGTCGTCTGACGCCGCGGTCGACTCGTACATGCCCTTCCAGAGGCACATCAGCCATGCCGCGATGCCAAGATCCTCAAAGACGTGCTTGGCGGGGTTCGTCGTCTCCGCCCACGTCGCGATGAGGCGCGCCGTGTGTCGCTCCTTGAGCGCAAGGTATGTGTCGAGGTAGAGCACGCGCGGCACGAGGACGTCGTGGTGCACGCGCTTGACGTAGTCGTGCGCCGTGCCCCAGGAGTGCATGTGTTGTACCTTGAGCAGCATGAGCGCCGTGCGTGCCAGACGGTCGTCGGCCGGCAAGGGCGACGGCGTGGTCGGGAAGCCGATGTAGAAGACTCGCAGCGCGCCGAAGCGAGGCGGCGTGCTGAGTGCGTCGGCCGACGAGGCGTCGAACTGGAATGACAGAGCCCGCACGGCTGGGTGGTAGTACGGCACCTCGTCGGCAGACTCGGGCAGCTCGGCGGGCTGCTCGCCGTCGTCTGGCTGCGTACTGCTTGGCGCTGTACCGCGTGCCTCGCCAAGCGCCGTGCGGCTTGTGCGCGAGCGGTACTGCGTGTACACGACGAGAGCATCCTGCGTCGAGGGCTCTTGCGTGTAGAAGCTGCACTCCTGCTCCATCGGCCAGTCCATCGAGCGGCGCGGCAGCAGGCGGCGGTGTACGCGCTTGAAGCGTCGCCAGTCCGCCGACGATGACGGCCCCGCCGCATCGTCGTCGGCGTCCTCGTCGGCGAGCACGTCGGCGCGCAGGATGGTGCTCGAGTTGCGCTCGGGATGGTGCACCAGCGAGACCATCACCTCGAGCCAGGCGTCCAGCGGCGCATAGGCCGTGCACTCGGCCAGCGGCAGCCACTCGTCTTCTTCGCGCTGCTGCGGCAGGCCGGAGAGGCTGCGTGGCAGTGGGGCCAGCGCCGCGGCCGAGCTTGGGCCAGCCGTGGCATCTGCACTGCCGAGCAGCAGGCGGGCATCGCACGGCGGCCGAGCAGCAGTGGCAGCGGAAGAGGAGCTTGCCTTGGTCATGCTGATGATGCTGAGGGGTCAAAGTCCGCCGAGGTAGCCTTGGGTCGCGTTGGTCTGGCGCCGCGTCTCGCCCACAGCTCCTTCAGGCACAGGGGCCGGCCGCCGCCACGTTGATGAGAGACCTTGAGAGCTTGCCGCAGCTTATCAGCCGCAGAGGCCGCTTCGGCGTAGCCCCGCACCTATTGCTGAGCCGAGTCTCTCGGAGAGCGGCACCGCAGCAGTCAGGGGCGAAGGAGGCAGCTCTTGGACCGACCTGTGCAGAGAGAGCGCTTGTGAGTGAGAGCTCTGCAATTGCGCGGTCTCGTGCCCAGATGGGCGCTCCAGCACGCTAGAAAATGCAGCCAGCTCCGCTCTCTCCTGCTCTGCAGGCTCAGCAGCAGCACACAGCCTGCAGAGCACCTGCTCAGTGCCCAGACAGCACAGGCCCAGTGCCTGTGAGTGTGCAGCCCAGACCAGGCCTGCAATGCCCTCACTGCTCCCTTCTGGTCCAGTACAGCAGTCATGCTAGCTGCACTGCTGCCATCATGCGCCTGTCATGTGACGCCATGGCTGGCCTTACTGTGCAGGCAGCAGGCAGCAGAGGCTCTTGTCCTGGTGGGTGAGGACAAGGAGCATGTGCAGAAATCAGCTGATCTTGACATGCAGCAGTGGCTCAGGGGCGCTGCACATCTGTCTCAGTGCAACGTGACGGCAGCGGCAGAGTGTGATGTGACAGAAGAGAGGAGTAGAGTGCTCTGTGATTGCCTCCCAGCCTGGCGCCCCTGTGCTCCTGCCCTGTGCCCTGTGAGTGCCTGCCAGGCAGCCCAGCTGTGTGCTGCAGCCCAATTTGCCAGCAAGGCCCGCCTTTATTCCGTGCCCGCGCTGCGAGCGCACACTTGAGTTTGGGGGCTACCTCGGCCGGCGAGGAGCGCCAAGCTCTAAGCCGCGGAGTAGCGCTACCGGCCGGGAAAGGCGTGGGAGCGCACTCAGAG